GCCAGAGCCCTTCCGAAGGCCCAGTCGTTTGCGCTCGGTAAAGAAGCTGGGGTCGCCTACAGCCACCGCGGTGTCTGTAGGGGAGAAACGACGCCGGGGTTACTCGTGCTTCCAAACGGCAGCCCATGATTGTTCTCGAAAGCAAGCAGCCTGATAAAAGGCATTCCTTTTGCGTGTTGATAGGAGGAGTATGTTTTAGGTGGCTGAATAAATGCAACCGTTCCGTGAAATCCTGCGTTGCCGCATAGGACCAGTTGGTGTAGGAGGGTAATCGTTCATGTCTTGGTAGCTGAACTTGTAGCGGAGTCTCTCATGCTCTCTGCTGACTAGGAAGCTTTGCTTGACACAAGGCTGTTTAATGCTGGAGTCGTTTTGGTGATAATAAACTTTTTCCATAAATTCTTTCCATTAAAGGGTAATGGACCAGTGAAAGTTACTGGAAGAATCAGTGGCTTGGTTGACGGAGATCATGGCTTCCATGTCCATGAATTTGGGGACAATACAAATGGTAAGGTGTCTACCCAAGCTTTTGAGTTACAGCTGTAAATGTGATGGCTCAGCTTCAAAGAGCTTCTTTTAGTGTTGCAGTAGCAACTAGTATAGGTGTACTTAGGTCTCGCAACTGCAAATCTGTGTTAAGAAATGATGATATTTCCTAAGGAATAGCTTCCAGTTTAATACTTTGAACTTGTTTAGGCTTGTGTTCAAGATCTGACATATCAAGCACTAACCTAAATACTTTGATACCCTAGTTATTAAGAAATGAGAACGCTTTCAACTGAGCCCAGTGTTCTAGAACAAGTAATCTTACTTTATTTGAACTCGTAAGTCTGTAGCAGGTTACTTGCTTCTGAAGGATTAGTAGAACATCTAACAGGAGAGTAGCTATTTCATCATTAGTGACTTCGTTTTCTCTAGCTACAGGAGGACTGCCTTGGTGTGTACTGTTTAAGCAACACATTTAAACTGGCTACTGCAAAAATCTGCTTTTGATGGCTGCGTTCTGTTTCAGGGTGTACCAGTGCAGGTTCTCACTTCAATCCTGAAGGCAAGCAGCATGGTGGACCAAAGGATACAGAGAGGTGAGTTTAATGTGCCTGGCCTCTTACTGGGTAGCTACTCCATGCAGCGGCCATCCAAGTGCTACTTTGTGCTTGAGAGGCTGCTTCATGACTAATGCTAGGACAATACCAGAAGAAAACTGGCAAAGCCTGCCAGGCTTTGAGGGTCGGTTAACAAAGGCTCTGATAACTGTCTGGTGCTTTGTTAGACACCTTGGCTCCAAGAGTATGGGTAAAATGTAGTCCTTGAGATGTATCCTTGGCTTTATCATAGCCCGGGGGAGAAGAGGAAATAAAGGCTCTCCCTGAGTTGAAGGTTCCTCAGGATATGAGTGCGGGGAGTTCATGTGTTAAAGCCTTATTTGGTCAGTGGTGATTTGCTTCTGGTTTGGGGCCAGCTTTTGACAGTGGGGTCCCTGAAACTGTCAGTTGCTGAGCAGTATGAAGGCTTGTCATCTGGCAGATGAGGATCATCAGTGGAAGGTACTGAGGCTTCTGGGGAGACCGCAAGATGAATACAAAGCTGTGTGTGCGTGGGCATGGTGGCTTTTTATTGTGTTTACTGGGCTGTTCTTACCCTGTTAGCTTAGGTACCATACTATCTATAGTATGTAATCCTTGGGGGTTGTGTGTGCTGTGTGTAAGTGCAGGGTCTGATGGTTATGCTGCATATCTGTGTACCTCAGTGGGAGTTCAGACCTAATTCTTCCCCTGGAAGCAGGGGGAACCCTCATGTGCTTGAGACCTGATGTCTGAGCTGATGGGGTTCAGAGCCTGGGAGGGGGCCGCACAAGAGTTAAAGCGAGTGGAGCCAAGAGCAGGTGTAAAAGATAGGCTGGTCTTGCACAGGTAGTGTCTGGACCAGTGCTGTGATCAACTTGGCATTGTGATTAGCTTTTGAATGCTCATGTTTATTTCTTAACTGCACTTTCTCTGACTGATAAATTCATACCTGAGTGATCAGTTGCATGCCAGACTCAGCAAGCTGGCTGCTAGCCAGCTGTCTGGATGACAGAGCAGCATGAAATGGTGTGCTCATGGGCTTCGCAGGCAGCCAGCTGCTCCATTGCTGAAGGTCAAAATTGCATGAATGTTGTGGCGGCTGCTGCTGCTGGTTCTGCTTTGTCAAATCCTGTTTTCTAGCATAACCTGCTTGCTCAGGCAGCTGGAGGCTGGGGAATTCCTTAGGAGGGTATAAGAATGAGAGCGTGCTTTTATGAGTGTAGAGTTGAAACAAATGGACTGAAGCTTCCTGGAAGCTTAAATCAAGCAAATCCCTAAAGGGGAAACTGCCCTTGAGTTGATTTTATAGGAATTGGTTAAAAATATGAAATTGGTGCTATGCTGTCTAAAGAGCTGGTAGTCAGCATTCAGCTGGGTGAGCTGGTCACCCTGTGTGCATGGAGAGTTCTAGAAATGAGTTGGTATTTGGGGTTCTGAATCTGGATAGAAGAGTCTTGCAGAGTATCATCGACCTGTCTTTTGAGCGAATGGTTTGTTTGGGGCAGATGTGTAGGAAATTATACTCTGGAATGCCCAGAAGTTCAGTGAAAACTGAACTGCTTGAGGCTCACTTCTTAAGGGAAGTCCTAGCAGAGATCTGGCTCTGATAAAAACTTGTATGGTAGGGTGTAATGCCATGTGTGTGGGGAAAATGCCAAGCAAACTTGAATAGTCATCCCTGGTACTGATTGGAACTTCGCAAGCACTTAAGACACCCTCTTTGACCTGTCGCTTGGCAAACTGCTTTTACTAATCCTATTTAAACCTAAAGCCTGCAGCTGCTTGTGGAATAGCTGATTTGTGATGGACATTAAAAGCTTGTAAGCATGGCAGTGGTGGTGTTCACACCAAACCTTGTATGTGCAGGACAGGTTTGCACCTAATTTGTGAGACTTTGTGTGGAGGGAGATGCCATCGGCATGGAGGAATTCTTGGCCATGAGAGTTGCACACTGTCAGCTTGGTTTGTAAGGGAGTGATGGTGTTCCTTTCCCAAAGTTGATGAACCTTTCTGTTTCAAGTTTTACCTGGGACTGAATTCTAATCATCGAACTAAAGGAGTTGGAATAGTGGAAGTGTTCAAGACTGACTGGAGGTAGTAAATGAGGACATAGGTGCTCTTTCAGATAAGACGGTGGAGTGCTTGAGCATAGTAACTATGGGTATTGCATTGTCCGGGCCATCACTGAGAAGAGCTTTCAATTTAACCAAGTTTTCTACGAGTTTCTCTGTGTCTTTGTGTAGGCATGTGGGAGACCTTGGCAATGTGACTGCTAAAGGAGGAGTGGCAGAAGTGGAAATAGAAGATTCCATCATTTCTCTAAGTGGACCACACAACATCATTGGACGTACCATGGTGGTAAGTGTCTTGGTGCTGACCTGGGCGCTTTAAGGAACACAGAGCAGTCTTGCCAGCTTGGGGCTCCACTGTGTGCTGAGACCACTGTACTGCATGACCTGGGCTTGGGCTGTTGGCAGAGATGGCAGGGAGGTGTGGATGGTGTGGCCGAGGCATTGTGCCCGTGGTGCAGAGGTTGGCCTTGAGTTGCAAGGGTGACCTTGAATGTCAAGTCTGAGCCTTACTCTTGGACTAGTAATGACTTTTTGAAATGTGACGTTTTGGTGACTTCCAGTTGAAACATTCAGCTGAAGGAAGCTCGTCTTTTTAGACAAGTCTAGCCTGAATTTTTTAGTGTGAGTACCAGTTTGGCATTCAGTGTTGCATAGCTACAACAGGTTGTAGCTGTTGTGTAACACCCTGCTGGTAGCTGGCAATACTGCTTGTCGCTGCTGCCACTAGTGGGAGTAGTGAAAAATGTTGCTTAGCTATGCAATGACATGAATTAAGGCACCTTCAATTCTCTTTTCAGGTCCATGAAAAATGCGATGACCTGGGTAGAGGGGGAGATAATGAGAGCAAATTAACTGGAAATGCTGGCCCTCGTTTAGCTTGTGGTGTAATTGGAATAGCGAAGTGCTAAGTATGGTACCCAAAATGCTTAAGACAACAGCGATAAATGGGCTGTATTTCATTGCGAATGCTGTACTTGCCCCTCCTTGTGCAAGATCTATCACTTAATCTCATTACTACTCTGCATTCTGAGTATCACTGAAACTGGTGAAGACTGACTTAATTTTGTATGATGTATATTGTAATTAAAGTGAGCCTGATGGAATGTCTCTGTAGTCTTCTGCTAAAGCATCTGCTGTAACCATTCAGTGTAGTCTCAGCTAACTGGAGCTCCTCTCCTGTGTGGTGGAAGATGTGCAGTAGCGTTTGCGGCCTGAAGGCCCCAGCTGCTTGGCGTGCTGTGTGAGCTGGAGGGTTGGCCCTAGGAGCTCCAGCGGGAAGGCTCACCACAGAGCGGTAGGCGCTGTATGCACCGGGGGCTTCCTCAGCGTCTGTAGGTTTCAAACTTGTGTAATAAACTTGCTGGGCAAATACACCTTGGTCTTGCTGTCTATAAAAAAAAAAGCAACAACCCCTACCCCCCTGCCTGCTGTTAGGTGAGCATGAGAAGTAGGCCTGGATTTCATCCTGGCAGCAGTTAATGTGCTCGACACCAACAGCATCCATGTGGCTTCAGCTGGTAACCCTGGGACAGCTCAGCCTGGGGAGCCAACAGTGTGCCAGTGACAAGGAACACTGTTGTACATATTCCCCTGACAGAATCCCATCTTCTGTGGCAATAACCTGGCACCCTCTGCATGTTACAGGGAGGGGGGTTTGATATTTTCTTGTATGTCCCTCTCGAACACAGATCTCCCAAGTCTTTTAATAGAGAAAGTTATTTTAATGGAGGCTTGTATCAACATTCCTTCATCTTGCACATAAGAGGTACTTGTGGTGTTGGTTGTAGCTCTGTGTGCCCCAGTTTCCCTGTAGCATGGTACAAATGGAGCTGGTTTGGGTTGTACAGCAAGAACACTGTAAAGCACGTGGAAGCCCAACTCATTGCAGGTGGCAAGCGACCACAGCCTCTACCCACCTGCGCTCTCCCAGGGGCTTGGCCTGTGCTCCTGGCCAGCTGCTGCAGCTGTATTAAAGCAGCGACTGCCCCTTTTGACTCCTGCCTCAAGCAGTGGGGGGGAAACCAAACGCTGGTGGCCCACAACTCCCACTGTTGGGAAGTTTGGAGGAGGGTTATGTTGCCTCCCCTTTCCCCAAGGGGGAGAAATGGTGAGTACTTGACAACTGCAGGCTGGGCTGTAACAGAGCACGAGCTCTGGCAGCTCTACTGCTCGCTGCCTCCCCTGGACACTCCTGGGGCTGAACCCGACTGCTTTGGCAGCCTGGGAGGTGCAGATGGGGCCTTGCAAGCCCCTTCTCCCTTGTTGGGCTGCGAGCCTGGTGGCAGCCGAGCCCAGCAGCCGAGGCTGTGCTGAAGGATGTAGAAGTAACGCTTGCTTTATGTACCGATATTCTTAACCAGCAGGCCTTGGCTCTGCTGTCAGGGGGTGAATTCCCCGCCCTGCACGGTCTGTATCAGCAATGGGTGCTTACATGGAGCTCACCCGTCGCCCGGCACAAACTGACAGTGCTTCAAAGCCAAAGCCTTGGTAGTTGTACAAGGGCAGGATACCATGACGCTGGTGATGCTGTCAAGACGACGCATCGCCAGTAGGTTCGTTACACGCTTACTGCTCCAGAAGGCAGTAAGATGCAGTAAGAACCTGCTCTGCAAAGGCTGGCCCGTATTTTCGTAGGCTTTGTTTGTAATTTCTTAAAAAGGGAAAGGGAGAGAGCGTGAGGTGGCGTTTGTGTGAACAGACAAGCCCTCTGTCACTTTCATTCTTGTCTTCAAATCTTTTAATAAAGTGTATTCATTTAAAAAAAAAAAATCCTACCTCCTTACAGAATTACGGCAGTTTTTACTAAGACAAGTCTTAAACATAAGACATAAACGCCTGGCTTTGTATGAAAAAGTTAGTTCCACTGGCCCAGCATGAAACAAACATTAAGGACACAGGTTGTTAACACATGGAAGCTGAAGTCACTGCAAGTATGTAAACAGGTTTGGTTTTCTTTTTTTCTCTCTCTCTTTATTCTGCTATTGCAAGAACGTAAAAATATATGTCCTCTCCCCAGTCTGTGACTCCACGTTTGCTTTTCCACCCCTCTCCCTCCCCCAGAAAAAAAGAAAAAATAAAATAAAAATCCCTCTGCCACAGAGTAGCTATGAAAAAGCACTGATGGAAGAAAGCAGCCGCCCTTCAGTTAGGGAAAAACCCAGCTTGAAAAGTAGAACACACCTCTAGCAAGGAGACCAGGAAAAAAAATAGTTAAATATGCACAGGATTCGTACAATTTCCCCACTACGCTTGGGAGAGCGAGACGAGCCTCAGCTGGGGGCCACTCCCTCTCGAACACAGATCTCCCAAGTCTTTTAATAGAGAAAGTTATTTTAATGGAGGCTTGTATCAACATTCCTTCATCTTGCACATAAGAGGTACTTGTGGTGTTGGTTGTAGCTCTATGCGCCCCAGTTTCCCTGTAGCATGGTACAAATGGAGCTGGTTTGGGTTGTACAGCAAGAACACTGTAAAGCATGTGGAAGCCCAACTCATTGCAGGTGGCAAGCGACCACAGCCTCTACCCACCTGCGCTCTCCCAGGGGCTTGGCCTGTGCTCCTGGTCAGCTGCTGCAGCTGTATTAAAGCAGCGACTGCACCTTTTGGCTCCTGCCTCAAGCAGTGGGGGGAAACCAAACACTGGTGGCCCACAACTCCCACTGTTGGGAAGTTTGGAGGAGGGTTATGTTGCCTCCCCTTTCCCCAAGGGGGAGAAATGGTGAGTACTTGACAACTGCAGGCTGGGCTGTAACAGAGCACGAGCTCTGGCAGCTCTACTGCTCGCTGCCTCCCCTGGACACTCCTGGGGCTGAACCCGACTGCTTTGGCAGCCTGGGAGGTGCAGATGGGGCCTTGCAAGCCCCTTCTCCCTTGTTGGGCTGCGAGCCTGGTGGCAGCCGAGCCCAGCAGCCGAGGCTGTGCTGAAGGATGTAGAAGTAACGCTTGCTTTATGTACCGATATTCTTAACCAGCAGGCCTTGGCTCTGCTGTCAGGGTGTGAATTCCCAGCCCTGCACGGTCTGTATCAGCAATGGGTGCTTACATGGAGCTCACCCGTCGCCCGGCACAAACTGACAGTGCTTCAAAGCCAAAGCCTTGGTAGTTGTACAAGGGCAGGATACCGTGACGCTGGTGATGCTGTCAAGACGACGCATCGCCAGTAGGTTCGTTACACGCTTACTGCTCCAGAAGGCAGTAAGATGCAGTAAGAACCTGCTCTGCAAAGGCTGGCCCGTATTTTTGTAGGCTTTGTTTGTAATTTCTTAAAAAGGGAAAGGGAGAGAGCGTGAGGTGGCGTTTGTGTGAACAGACAAGCCCTCTGTCACTTTCATTCTTGTCTTCAAATCTTTTAATAAAGTGTATTCATTTAAAAAAAAAAAATCCTACCTCCTTACAGAATTACGGCAGTTTTTACTAAGACAAGTCTTAAACATAAGACATAAACGCCTGGCTTTGTATGAAAAAGTTAGTTCCACTGGCCCAGCATGAAACAAACATTAAGGACACAGGTTGTTAACACATGGAAGCTGAAGTCACTGCAAGTATGTAAACAGGTTTGGTTTTCTTTTTTTCTCTCTCTCTTTATTCTGCTATTGCAAGAACGTAAAAATATATGTCCTCTCCCCAGTCTGTGACTCCACGTTTGCTTTTCCACCCCTCTCCCTCCCCCAGAAAAAAAGAAAAAATAAAATAAAAATCCCTCTGCCACAGAGTAGCTATGAAAAAGCACTGATGGAAGAAAGCAGCCGCCCTTCAGTTAGGGAAAAACCCAGCTTGAAAAGTAGAACACACCTCTAGCAAGGAGACCAGGAAAAAAAATAGTTAAATATGCACAGGATTCGTACAATTTCCCCACTACGCTTGGGAGAGCGAGACGAGCCTCAGCTGGGGGCCACCCGGGCGATGGCTGAGCGGGCGGGCGCCGGGGCCGACCTGCCGGGGCGCTGACGCGGCCGAGGGCTTCTCAAAACCGCTTGGCCCGAAGGGCCGACCACCCCCCTCCCAGTATCAGCCCTCTGAGAATTACTGCAGCGGACTGACGAGGCAGCACTTTAAAATCCTCCAGCACCCCCCCCACCCCCACCTCCCTTCCTTGTCCCCAGCCCCACTTAACAAAAATAGGTTAGCATTCTCTATCATCTTTTGGTGTCTTTTGATTTCTCTTTCCAAAAAAGCATCAATGAATTAAGTACAAAAGGTGCCGACCTGGCGCGCGCCCTCGCCCACCGCCCACAGCAATCATCTTTGACACACGACAAGCAGAGCAGGCTGAAGTACGTCTGGAGGCGTCCGCTTTTTAAAAAAAAAGGCTCATTAGGGCGACATTTACCACAGAACCAGTCGGGAGGGGGGGGAAAAAAAAATAAAACTGATTGCATTGCAAACACTAAACAGTTAACTCTTCAATTAATGAACAATTTAAACCCACTAACTTTCACCTAGTATGGTCAAGTAATCATTAAAATGCAGCAACCTAAAAACCAAGATGACTGTTACAAATAGAAGTTTGCTTCTGTGAATGGCCACACAAACAAATGTATTTAACAAATATAAACAGAGCAGTCTAATTTAGACTCCAGTACAGCATTAACAGTTCAAACTTTAAGATGTTGAACACTCCTTCTCCGCTTCAGTGCAGTGTAGGAAGAATAGCACACGTTAAAGTTTGTTACGAAAATAGAGTTTATTAAAAACACATCCCTATTGTTTTGAGGAGCTTTCACCGTTACCTTTTCTTAAATTAAAAAAAAAAAAATAGAAAGCACTTCTACTTCTGATTTGTAAACTTTTTAAAGTCAAAACTTTAAAAAAGTTACAGCAAAAATGGGTAATATTTTAATCATATCTTCAGTATTTCATGTTACGGCGTGGCTATTTTAAATAGAAGGGAAGCAATCAAATTGCTTACGATCCCCCACCAACTACCGAGGGGCTGTGATATAAGCAGAAGCCGGTATGATACAGCAGACTGTACAACTCTAAAGCTCTACACTCCAACAACTGTCACTGTCCTCTCCCTAGCGAGGAGCCTCCGCCACTGAGCCCAGATCCTTTTCCGCCTGTTCCGCAGATGAGGTAGCCTCGGGTGTTAACTCTTCGACGGGTTTTACACCCGCAGGTTCAGACTCTCCCGCAGCAAGTTCTGAAACAATGTCTGCGTCTTCCATTTTGCCGCTATGAGACTCGTGGTTTTTGTCGCCATCTGCCCTGTCTGTCATCTCCGGCTTTTCCTTGCCTCGAGTTTCTTCCTTGTCTCTGCGAGACTCCCTGTCCCTCGAATCTCTCTCTCGGTCTCGATGGCCACTGGACCGCCTGTTCCTGTCCTCCAAGTCTCTGTGCCTGTCACGCTCGGGGCTTCTTCGTCCCCAGTCTCGCCTCTCACGATTACCAGCGCGCTCGTGATCTCTGTCGTCGTTGCGGTTACCATAGCGCTCGCGATCGTTTTCTACCCGGTTTCCAAAAGATCTCCTTCCAAACCTTTCCTGGTCTCTGTTAGGCGTGAACGTCTGCCTGTCATTCCTGAACTGCCTCCCATCTCTGTTATCCTCGGGTCCGCCTGGCCCCCCGCTTCCCGGCATCCCCCCGGGCCTCACAAAGTGACCCGGCGGCGGGAAGGGGGTTTTCATTCCGTGGGGGGGAGGCATCCCAAAGCCCCCTGGCCCCGGCGGGGGCCCTCTGTGCATCATGTGGGGAGGCATGTGTCGCGGTGGCATCAAGGGAAACCGCTGCAGCGGAGGCGGTGGCATTCCCGGCGGTCGCTGGAGCGGTATCAAACCAGGCCGGGCGCCTAGGAGGCCGGTGGATGGAGTCTGCAACCCAACAACGGGGGCTGGCGGGGGCGGCGCAACTCCTTGGGTGCCTGGAACAAACACACACATACACACAGAGTAAAATCAGAGGCTGGCAGGAGGGGAACAAAAGGCATTTCTGTAATTTCAAAAACATGCTGAAGTTATCTCGTGAAATGAGTAACACCGAAATTGCTGGGATGGGATGAAGGGGCGGGGGGAAGAGAGCAGCCTGCAAAGCTTCTCCCTGTGCTGGTTTACACCCTGTGAAGAGAGCACCCACCGTCTTTCAACACAACTTTGAGTCTTTTAACCACAAGTAGTCAATACCGCAATGGTAGTAACTAATGGCTCATCCTAAAGGCTCCCTTCCGTGCAGAAGCCACGGCCGTTCTGCAGGTCGGGGCCCTTCCTGATCTCCAGCTCAGAGCCTTGCTCCATCAGCCGACTGCTGAGGAAGCAGCCCCCAGCAGGCCACACCTCCCAGGCTTCTAACAAAGACCCCTCACCCCCTTTAGTTAGCGCCAAAACATTTCTCCCCTATGACAAACATCAGCAAAATCGCATCTGGCTAAAATGCTGGAGATTTGAACTGGTCATCAGCAGGACTTTCAACGTGCAGGAGAGGCTGCGAAGGGAGCAGGAGGATCGGAACAGGGCTGGAGGAGGAGCAGGAAATCACAGAGAGTTCGCTTCACCGTTCCAGAGAAAAGGGATACAACAAAGTTCAATTTTAGTAGAATAAGCCTTGCAGTGGAAACTGAGAGGAAATGCAACAAGAAATTTCTGGATTTTTTTTTTTAACATACAATTTTCCATCCTTTATAGCACATAGCCAACAGCAACTGTTTTCCATTTTTACTCCTGGACTCTTTTTTGGTTCTAGCATGGTCTTCGTAAGAGGAAAAAACAAATTAACTCTCAAAACATACCGTTTGAGAAAGCTCAGCCCAAAGCTTGTTGACATCAACACGGCAAGCCTAAATGAACTAGGGTTACTGAGCTCCAGCTGAGGACTCCATACCAGTAAGCGTGCGCCAGCTTATCTCGTGTGCTGCCTTCTGCCTGAACCCCAACACTGCTGTCCCGTGTTCTCTGCGGCCGTTACACCGGAGCCGCCGGCTCTTTCTGCTCGCAGGCAGTTATTTACCAGAAAATAAGCTCCCTATCTGAGAAAGCACGTGATGTTTTCTGAACTCCCAAACTGAAATTCGAAGGAATGGGCGGTTGCCTGCAGAACAGCACACATCTCTCCCAATCCGTCTTGTGCTCCTCTATGCATTTGCTAAGACTATAGACAATGTGTTGTTTCCACATATATTAATAAAAATGAAAGTTAAGAATGCAAGTTATGTAACATTTTCTAACTCCTGCCCTGGGTCCTGCCCTAGAATGTGAAATAGTTATGTAAATTAACACCAGAATTAAATCCCTGGCAGCATTATCAGTGAAAACTGCACTTTGATTTCAGCTTCATGAGCATGCCGGGGCAGACATCCCAAATAACCTTCCATTTGGCTAGCGTAGCCAAAGAATAAATCTTCTTGCATCAGATTTATTTAGCATTTCCATCCCAAATACACCTGAGCCTTCCGATGAACATCCAAGCTGCCCTTTCTCCACACCACTTCTTATGCTTAAGAACGTCTCCGACAGGAACCTTTTTATCCGAGTGCTCTTTATATGCATATTAGAAGGAAACTATATTTTGCCCAGCAGGAGAACTCGGGTAACAAAGATGCAAATATTCTTCCAGTCTGCAGCACCATCTTACCTTCCCCTCCCAGCAGTCACTTTTAAGACACAGCTTGATAGGTCACACTCTTTGAAAGAAATGTTCCAGTAGCAACAGCCTATTTTTTCTGGTCTGTTCCTTGTTTGTTTACCGTTTTAACTTCAGAATGCACAGCCCTCCCCCTCCTCCTGTTCACAACCAGGGCTGCAAGTCACCTCGTTTTAACTCCTCCCATGACCTAGTACTATACAGATCTGACAAGACATGCGTAGGGCTAAGGATGTTTTCCAAGAATGTGATCTTGCTGAATTCTGAGGTTTGGGGATATTCTTCTTGATAAGCAAATTCTTCCGCAGAACGTTAAAAATAAGGCAGAAAAGAATGACTGAGACCTAGCGAGCTGGAGAGGACAAGCATATGTTTCCGCTCTACAGCAGCAGAGTAGATGAGGGTTACCACAGCATGAGCATGAGGCAAGCGTGAAAAGTTTTTTTTAAATTTAACAAGTATGATAATTTCATTTCTCAACCTTATTTCTCCACAAAGTGCAGCACAGAAGCAGCGTGACAGTATCTGAAACTCATTCTCTTTCAATCTGGACTGCACCAGCAAGGTAGCTGAACACTTTTTTAAATCAGCCCACTCGGAACGTTGAGGCTGAAGTACACTGTAGAAAGAACTATTAAGAGTTTCCTCGCTGTGCTGGCAAATCAGGCATCAATTAAAAATTTACTCTCAAAGAGCTGTCCAGAAACATATCCAAGTTTACTGAAAAGGCTCAGTAAAATTAGTGGTACATATTGCACGTGCAGTATCTAGGAAAACTTAATGCCCTTTGTTGTCTTATATGAGGAAAAACAGTATGTAAAGTTTAAATAGTTTGTCAAACTTTAAAAGAAATACCAGAGCTCCTGAAGAAACAATAAAGGGATTTAACGACCATCTCATACCTGTGCAGACCAGTGATGGAATTTATCTGCCCCAGCCTGTATTTATTCATTTACTTGTAACTGTAAACCTTTTTAAAGTAGCAAACCTTGTCTTCTTGCTTATGGGTATGAAATAACAGCCATCCCTTTCACCAGCTGCTTATTCTGCGTAGCTTGGCTAAGACCTGGCTTTTATTACAAGGCCTGGCTTTTAACACTGGAGATACAAACCTCAGACCTTACACCTAATATGCTGTTCTGTTCAAATGTGTAAAAACATACATTGCTTTCACAACTTGTTTTTATTTGTAACTTCTACCAGTGATGCGCAGTGAAAGGTCCTCAGAACTTGCGAAGAATGTTTACTCCCACGCAGATGCAAGCATACTAGGAAAACCCATCGCCAACCACGAGTGTCGTTTCAGAGGTGCAAGAACAATCACACAGTGTGAAAAGTTTCATAATTCCACTTTACTGCTAAGACAGAGCCCAAAATGCTACAGCTGTCCTGAGGAAGTGTCTTCTATCCAGAGAGGCCACAGGAGTCATCCTCACTGTTTTGATAAATTAGGTCAAAAGCCCGATTTCTGTGTCACTGTAATTCCATTCCTGATTATCTTCTCTTCTGGCTGGACAAATCCCATGTTCCCTTGTGATAATTACCAGTGTTACAATGCTAACGTAACTAAGAAGTGTAGCATCTTTTTTTTTTTTTTTTTTAACTGAACTCTGCTCAGTAAGTGATCACCGTGTCTCTTATAATCCGTTAAATTACTTCTCAGCTGTGCTGTTACAAGAAAGCAAGTGGACGAATGCTCTTTTCTGTATCTGACACAGCAATCCCGCTTCAAATACATATGAGAACAAGAAGTCAAAAGCTTACAATTCCAGCAGAACGGTCTAAAGGTTTACAGAGAATTTGACGCTGATGTTCTGCAACGTTTAGCATGTCGCGTTAATTCTCCTATCGTTCCTCAGCAGGGAATGTTGCACCTTGAAACTAGAACACGAAATACTACCAGGAAGTTCTTGAAAGAGGACAGTTTTTTAAGTCTTGTGTCTTTATCAGGAGTTCGATACAGAATCCTTTAGACCAGGCCAAGACTAAAGAAAGCCTAAACACCAATTCACAGCTTAAGTAACTTGCCGTAAATACCAACATTTTTCAGGGTAGTCAGTGTCCATCACTGAAGCCAGTAGGGGGTTGCTCCTACCCCCATAAGATGCTTGAACAAGGATGTAAGAGTCAAACTACGTTACGTGTATCGTGGTGGTTAGTGGTTTTAAGACTTCTAAAATTCCTGCTTTATAAAACATATAAAACGCTGAACTGATCCAGGTCAAGGGAATCATCAAGGCAGAACTGAATTCCGTGAATGGTGCTTGAGAGTTCCTGTTCCCTTACCTCTGCATTCTCATTCGGTAGTATTATGAAAGCAACAGCCATATATGTAATTAGCAAACATGCAGTGTTTGTTATGTTTTTAAAATGGGCTATCACAAGAAATTTGGAAGTGTATTAGGATTATCACTGTTCATATCCTGCATTGATAAAAAGCTCATCCTTCCTGTGAAGGAAGTATCCACTTTTTATAATATAGTAATACTGTGATGAGCTCAGAGAATACTGTAGTCTGTCTTTTACAATTTAATGCAGATTACAAAAGAACAAACCATCAAGGGAGAAAAGAATAATAATTCAGCACGCATTAACAGGAAAAGAATACCAAGTTCGGTAAGAACTGCAGTATAATTAATCTTTGATAACATGTAATTATTATTGTAGGAATTTTGGTAAAAAGAGCACTAGACCAGAACCTACAAACTGCAATACGGTGTATTTAATCAAGATAATAGATCACAGAATCTGAATATTCGAAACATAGCATCTGCAACAGCAGTTTATTACTGGTCCAAATTACAGCATTTGCTCAACACTAAGAACAAGTTGGCAAATCAAAAATGATTTAAAAGCCTGTCACTTCCTGCAATATGCACATGTATAAAAAGTCTAAAAATATCTGCTTTGCAGATCATTTAAAAAATGACATATGAGCACACACTCACAAAACCAGTTACAGTCTGGATTATCTTGTTCAAATGAAGAACAAGAAGCTATAACAGCAGCGAATACGATCAAGGATACAACTAAATCAAAACAACCTGTGGGTGGTTTTTAGAAAGCAGCACAAAAAAATTCAAGACAAAGTCCACAAGGGATCACTCCTCTGAAGCACAAACATGTCTTTGTTGGAAGTGATATAAGAATTACATTGGAGGAACGAATGAAATTAGCAGAGCTGAAACAGAATGTAACTTACATTACTAAGAAAGCATATGAAATCTTACAATAATCAATCTAGAATTACTTTGTAACATATCTCCCATATAAAAATGGAACAGATAGATAGATAAGCTTCATTTTGAAGTTACAAAAATTAGAAAAGAGCTCCTGCATTTGTACAGATTACATAAGGTGTTCTCAAGCGAGGTTAAGTTTAGATTTCTATGACAGTCTCTTCAGAGCAATCTTCATTCCTTGAACTCAGCCTGCTGAAGTTCTTCTATCCTGCCCAAATATCCGAAGAACATTTCTTCATTCTTCATGTTACACTACTCAAGCCCCTTCCATCCCTATTTCCCCAAGCAGAGTCCTCATGACATACTTCATGATGCTGTCAAACAAATCTTTCTTCCACCTCCTTATCTCAGCTTGGAGAGCCACATCATGGGAACGTTTAACAAGCGGTTTGAGGACTTCGTGAGAAACCAGTCACATGATCAGTCATCTGTTCAAATTGCTAAACCATATACTTGTGAGCTTCAGTTGGAGGCATTTGATGTCCCCTGCCTGCACTTTCCCCTGGCTAACTGAGGGTGATCCTGTACCTACTCTTTTACTTTGTCCAGTCCATTTGCCTCTGACCTGTACAAGACGGTGTCTGTAGGTCACACACTAAGGCTACATTTAAATCATCAGGCCTGCAAGTACTTCTGGGCTCCGGGACCAGGATGCACACGTAGGTTGCATCTCATGTCCGCACGCGTGGTGAAACCCTGGCACACTCCATTTCCCATGCTTTGATTTCCCTAGGAGTGAAACCTGACACACAGAATGAAAAGGAAGGAATGATGATGCAGCCTGGCCAGCTCTTGAGGCTCCGAGGATGGGGAGGGCAAGACCTGAAGGGACACTTCTTTGCTATCTAGATCAGTATGAGTGGTGGAAAACATCACCTCTTTCAGGTTTTTCTTCCAGCCCAAGGGAGAGACCAGATCTGGACTCTCGCATGCAGAGCTAAGCTCAACTGATAAGTGAACCAAAGTGGTTTTAAGGCAGTTTCGTTTGTGTTAACTTACAGAAAAGTTTTAAAAGCAAAGACAACTGATATTAATCTTTTATCTTTAATCACATAAAGTATTATAATGTTTCTTCTTGTTTTCTTGTCTCTTGTATCAGATTGTGAGCAGCCTCCTCCCCCCCTTAACTCCAAAATGTCAGAAGGATTTTATGTAACCCCTTGATTATAAATGACTTCTTGAAATAAGATGCTCATCAACATAAAATGCTGTTACTTAAGTACACACAGATCTCTCAGCTATTACTTCAGGACTACTCTGTAAGCTCACACATACAATCTTATAAAAAGAAAAAAAACACTCTCCTATCCCCTTGCTGATGAGACTGAACGTTGAGAGAAGTCACTCTGACCACACAGACAATTTTATCTGCTTCAACTATTCAGTAAACAAGTTAATAAAAACAAAGGCAAGTTCTTGATCTTCAGATTTATTGAATTTAGCTTCCTTGAATTTGTGAGAATAAAAAAGCTACTGTCCAAGTAACTAATGTGGGTATATAATTTACTTCAATCTTAATTTTGTAAAACCTTTTCCTTACATCTACAGTGATATAGCAAACAGCAGAGTAACTTAATATATTCCAAAGGCTTGGAATAAAAAGTTATGCCGTTGAAGACACAGTACCATGGAACTTCAAATATCTGGTAATACTGTGCTACAATTACAAAAATCAGAACTTCATCATTAAGATGTGAATGCCTTAAAAGTATCGTCCAATAATCCTTATCACTACAAAATTCTCTCAATCCATGGTGTCACCACAGAATTTTTTTTAAGCTTTTCTCTGTTTCCCAAGTGTCCAACATACTCTAAAACAATTAGCTGCTGGTTTTGCATATCTGCTTTGATAGATTTTTAAAAGCAGACTGATTTTCAGAGAGAGGCTGCTCTTCACTTTTTGAAAAATGCCTTTTAAAAGGGTCTTATCTCAAGTTTCCAACATGAAGGATCCAAAAATCACTAGTCACAGCTGGAAAATTTAGCCATCAAATCCAATAAAATAGTGGGCTCTCAAGGAGACAGATCTTTGGGGTGTTTTTTCAGTGTACACTGTGAAGTTCTGGGCAGAAACACACTAAAACAAAACTATTTTTTTCATTCATTTGTTAGGCTCTCATTTAGAGGTCTGAAATCCCATAGAAGTAATAATCTCACTAGAATTTGTAGGAAACAAGTCTCGTGAGCATATTCCTGACACTGACCTATAAAAGGCCATCCTAAAATAAGTATTTAGCAGACCTCTGTAAACATTCATAACGGTCTTTAAAAATCTGACCAAGTACATATCGTATCATGAAAAGTAATTTATGTAAGATACCCAAAGTTAGCTTTTTTTTTGCTAGTCTAAATACCTTTTTGTAATATTTAAATAAGGTAACATACTGTTAAAAAGGTTTCAAAACCTCTAATACTGCAGGGCTAAATGAAAGCTTTAGCATCTTCATTTTATTAAAATAATTTATTCCATACATAAAAAATATACTGTATTTTCACAGATTTAAAAAAGACACTAAAAAAATACCGCTTCTCTGTAAGTTAATTTTATACATGTAATAGCTGAGTCTAAAACATAGTTCCTATGTCATACACATTTTTTGTTGTAAGTTAATTTTCTATATGGTATAAAGCTCAATTTGTTAAAAGCAGACAGCATTTTGTTCTGTCCTGAATTTGTAACTTAAACATTACGGATTTTATGTTTCTTCAGAAAACAGATCTTCAATAATAAAAAAAAAATTACTGCTCCTTCTATGCAAAATCAAGCCTCTAAAAATTATTTAGAAGCCAACAGAAGGGCAGAAATCATTCAGAAGAATCTGCTTTTCCCATGAACTGTAAGTCAGTAGCAAAATCAAAACCATGATTTAAATTCAGGGAACAATAAACTGAAGAACATATACAAAAACGAACTTACCAAGAAGTGGAATAGTTTGGGTGACAGGAGCAGGTACATTAGTAGGTGCTACAGGAGGTGGAACAGTCCCATATATTTTGGAACTATCGGTAGTTTCAGCATTCCCTCTGGATCCAGAAACCACTGTTGGGATGGGATTTCCTACAGATGAATCTTTTGTAGTGTCTTCATTTACACCAGTTGCTGTGGCTGAGAAACAATGCATTGACATTTAAAAAAAATAAAACCCAAAAAAAGTCAGCTTTTCTGCTTGCATTATACCTTCCTTCTACTGTTGCTTGCCCAAGATTTAAACACTTACAATTTGGGATGTTTACTGCCGGAGTGTGAGGAACAGATACTGGAGGAGTTATAGGTGGTGGTGGTCCAGGAGGAAGAAAGCCTATTAAAAAAAAACAAAAAAAAACCACCAACTACATATTAACACAGAGTATCACTTTACCAAAACATACTTCTGCAGTTTATATGGCAGATGCTTTTCTTTGCTATACAGCTAAAAAAAGGACTTTATATTTCCCAAAATATATAAATATACCTGGGGGTAAATGCATTGGGTTGAAACCAGGTCGTAAAAATGGAGGTGGTGGCGGTGGTGGCACTCCGGGAGCAAATCCAGGAGGTGGGATTCCTAAAGGTGCTGTGAAAGCAGGTGGTTGGAGTGCACCAACCACAGGAGGACCTGATGGATGTGGTGGAACCTAAGAAAAAAGGAAGGGGAAAAATGCGTTACCTCAAGACTGAATGGATTAACTGTTGTTCAGCTGGACTGCTGTCTTCTGTGCTTTGTCCATCAAAACAAGAAAATTTAAGCTACCAGCTTAAATCACTCTGCAACAAGGTGACTGATCTAATCAGCAGTGAAAGAACTCCTACAACTTAAAAGTATCAACACTGATCTTGTTTGCCTTTGTTCTTACAGAAAAAATTATTCTCTGTAGTAAATCAATATTAATGCATGCTAGTAACTCATCTAAATATACCCGTTACACAGTAGCTGGAATTAATTTTACCATCCAGCATGATACACTATAACGCACACAACTTTGGAGCAATTAAAAACGTCTTCTTTTTTCTTTTTCGCTACCTGAGTTTGTGTATTACGTTAGAGTGACTATTGTTTCCTAATTCATTTATTTTTTAAAATTATGGTTGATACCAAGCCCTGAATGAAAATGGATTTAAATTAAGTTGGTCCTTAGATTCCTATTTATGAGCTTACTGCAAAAACTACATTAAATGTGTGGGAATCAAAAGGAAAAAAAGTTTAATCAAAACATGCTCTGCATTTAAAACTGGCAAAGGACAACTGTGTACTCAAGTGATCTAACTGACTCACCTCCATGACCATCAAGATTTCAGAACTACTACACCAAGACCCTTCATAACTCATTTTTTATTTTTAGACTGAAGAAGGAAAAGCCTTTACTGTTTTCTTCTCAGAACTGAAAGAAGTGGCATTAAACCAAAGTAAGCAAAATATTCTCCTTAAACCTGGAGAAGATGCTAAAGCTGCCAAGCACCTGATACCACTTCAAATTTCTGTTCCAAGTTCTTTACCAGTGGCTAGGTCAGTGAGCTGAGGCACATTAAAACTTGTACTACCAGAATTTTAAAATCAATTAATTACAATAGGTTTTAATTCATCAGGCTTTAGTGTAGAGCACCACTTTTTCTTTTTATTGTTAAATTGGTTATTTATTGGTTTCTAATAACCTGCTGATTATGCCCTGGTCTGAAGTTAAGCAAACTTGAGCAAGATGCAAGAAACCACTGGATGTGGCACAAGGAATTGCCAGACCTGACCGATAACAATGTGAGAAGTTACAGATGGCACCAGGGGAGATGGCTGGATTCTGCAGGTGGTTAAGTGAACAACAGGTGTTGTGAACAACAGCAAAACTTCAGAGAGAATTAGAAATGAGCACTGGGGACCTTCTGGGGACTAGGACCTTGCAAGGCCAACAGCGCCCAGGTAAGCATATCTAGGAGTACCATATAAGGCCAAGACTACCTAGGTGAACATTAACTTTGAGTAATCCTAGAGCTGTTTCCATTAATCACAGTTAAAGCTTTAGAAAAAGTGCTCCAAACCCACAGTAACCTAATAGAGTCTTCGTAGGTCCTTTTGTTCTTTGAAAGAGTGCCCTGTAAAACAACTTACAAAATTAGCTTGACATAGCAACAGATCTGTTGATTGCAGTAACGTTCTGTGAAGCAAGCGTTCACATGCAGAGTACGTAGCAGAAGGAATTGGGGAGGGATACCAAGAAGGCAAAAGCTTTAAAAAGAGGGGAAGCTTGCTAAGTGCTGTCAGCCCTTAAGTAGTTAAAAGCGGAGAAAACTGTGGATGAAGCATGTGTACACAATGGCTTGAGGAAGTATAATGAATAGTAAAATATTATGATGGAACCAGAATAGAAGTAACATCAACGGAAGATGATTTAGATATGTATTAGAGGATATCCATACCTAATTATCCAAACTTAACTGCTGTACTTAATTTTTTCTAAGTAGTTAACCCTCTAATAAATAATTGTAAGTAGCAGGTTAAAACTTCTTTTAAGCAGAAAGAAAAAAAGGAAGGTGGTAAAAATCTGTGCATAAACATCACAACATCTAATTTAAAATACAATCTGAAGTGTAAAATTTCTCTGTTGAAGAGATAGAACCAATGGCTAATAAACATTGACAGACAACAAACTCAGGACTGGTGAACAGTTTCAGAATAAAAGACAATTAATTGGATACAACAAAGTAAGAAAAATGCTACTGGGGATACCCTTTATTAATGGGGAGACAAATATTGGGAAACCCTGGTATTTTACTAGCAACAGTGGAAACTGAAATAACTAACCTCTCGATAACTAATGCAGACTGCTGGGTACATCTCAATGAACATGTCTTGGGGTTTGGGCTGTGCCCAGGTACAATTATTTCTTACTGCACACCTCTCAGACTGAGACTTGAAGGAGAATCATTGGCCCTGTGAACTAAAGGAGCACAGCCTACCTACAGTGCTCCAAGACAAGTAAATATACATTTAACCGCATCCGGCATCACCAGCAGAAAGACTGCAAAGGACGAGTCTGCCAGTTTCAATAGGAACGGTACGGGATGGATATTGGACCAATGCACAACTCCCACATCTAGTTATAAGGAGAAGGAGCACATGGGATTAAGAAATACATCAGGAAATTTGGGAGGTACACACTCAACTTGGACTCTGGTTTCTGGCTGAAAACCCATTCAATGAAGAAAAGGAACTTTGGGTTGGATTGGGAAACTTACAGAAAAGGTGGCTAAAGCAAACCCCCTGGACTTAAATGTACAACCCCGGCAAAGCCTGAGCCATGGTTCACTGTAAAAGAATGGCAGTTTTGGTAGGGTAACACCCAGCTTTGCCAGGAGAATGGGACACCAACTGCCCCAAACTGCAATGAATGCGCTACACAAGTGATATCACAAGTGCTATTAAATGCAATTGACTCTCAATAACCAAGAAATAGACTTTAAGGTGATCTTGGACACTACAATATGACTTAAAAATAAACAGACACCTACCCTCAGAGCAGACCACTGAGATGGATTACTCAGACCTGCAGAAGTGGGACCAGATTCAGCAACAGCTCAGAGATCTGAATCTACAGGCAAGAAAAGGGCTCACTCCAGTGGCACAACACAAATATTGCACCTATCTTGCCAACAACCCAGGACCCTCTGGCTGAGAAGACACTGTGTGTGCTATTGAGGCCAAAGACCAGACTTACCTATGCAGGCTGTCACACTTAGAAGGACGTTCTCAATTTTAAGTGCCTTACTACACAGAGGTTGCATTCATTGGTCAAGGTGATACTGTCAGTAACAGGAGGTCAGTCCACAGTTAAGTTACACTGCTCACAGGTAACGTCCAGCAGAGCAGGACTCCAACCCTGTGTGTCCAGCCCAAGCAGGTGGGTAGCACAGAAGGCCCATTCAGGCTCTACCAGAGAAAGGAGTGATGCAGCTCCTTCCCATCCTACCTTTGAGCATGGGATTGTTAGGGCCATGGGCAGATCACGAGGCTGCTGACTAGGCCCTGGCCTGAAGTTAAGCTTCACGAGAAAGGGCATTAAGGGCATGAGAAGCTACTGGACACCAGAGAAACTGCCAGACATGACAGGTAACAATGTGAGCAGCTGACAAGTTACAGATAATGGATGGCTGAATTTTGCAGGTGGTTAACAGGGTGCTTTGTGAACAATAGCCAAATTTAACAAATAACCAGAAAGGAGCACTGGGGATCTTATGGGGAAAAGGACCTTGCTTGTGACGCCAACAGTGCATAAGTAACCATATCCAGGAGAATCATACAAGAACAATATTACTTAGGTAATCATATTATAAATAGCAAATCTGGGTAGGGATGCGACACAACTGGGACCAACATGGAAAAAATAATTAGGGGAGAGTTGTGTACTTGGGAGGAGACTGGAGTAGAGAAAGGGAGAAGGAAGTACAACAAAAAGGAAGGTCAAGAAGTGAGAAAAGAGAGTATGTTATAGGAATCAAGCAGTCAAAGCTGTTTGGGGTTATCTGTCAGGCAGCCCTGTGCTTGACTGCTGCAGCCTGGATCAGGACAATGCATAAAGCCTGTTCTGACATACCACCTGCATCAAACCTGCTTCTTCGGTCAGAGGGACCAGGGTGGGCAGGGTGCTTTCCATGGCTAACAGGGGAGCAGCCAGATGGACGGATCAAGCAACCTGGAATCACTGTAACGATGCCCATCCCAGGCTGGACAGTATCAACAGCTACCCAGCACTTGTAACCTCCCCACCTCTTACAGTCCTGAACACTGAAGCCAAACACAAATGAAGACAGTTCTGCTTGTATCGGAGGACAAAAATACACCCGCTAATTAAAATGTAATGGTACTCTACAAAGTTATTTAAACAATGGAAGTGGAACATAATGAGCTTTTTCCTTGAGGTATTAGGTCACATTTGCATATTACAAAACATGTTAAGTTTTACTGCTAACTCCACTAACATCATCACAGCTGCATTTAATTTGTAAGTTTTAAGAACTATTTACAAATTACTGAACTATTGTAATTTTACAGCCAGAGAAGACAACTGAATTGGTGAAGTATAAAATAGCATAAAAAAGTTCACACTGAAGCCAAAGATGAAGACTAAGTATAATTCTCTGATCCTGGCCTGAATTTGTGAAGACACAAGTTTCTTTGCCATAGTAAAAAACTGAAGCTGATGAAGCTGAGACAAGCAATCAGCACAGTCAATGTATTCTGAAACTGGTTGTTTTTTCCTTTACACTTTCTTTTTCAGCATGGACTTAAGGAAAATAAACAAAATCATTACTATTTAATACAGTTAATGGCTATTAAAACTCTCTAAAATTAGAAATTTGACATAAGTGTTCATTTACTAATAATACCATACAGCATTTCAGGAATTCTGTGTCAAAACAACACAAAATTCAACATACTGTTCTCAAATCACATTATTGGCTATACATAATAGTGAGTTCTTGATCTTTTCTGAGTGTCTGCCATATTGTAGTTCACAAATCACATTTTCTCAAGATGCAAAACAGTTTATTCACACTTCCTCCCATTTGGGAGGAGGTATACAACTATTTTAACAGTGACAAGAAAGAAACTATTACTGTAAAAGTAGTAACACATCTGTCAATAAGTAAAGCTAAAAGAAATACGATTATAAAGCACTGGAGGAGGGAGTATTATTACATGCAACTTAAACTAATGGTAAAATTTCAGAGTGTTCTTTTAGTGAGTGAACATACATCATCAGCTTTGACTAAAGAACCATTGTAACAACAAAGGAGGAGTATGAAAATTTTTATATTAAATTCCCAAAGGCTGTTCAACGAGAGTATACGCAATATGAACAAATGTGAAAGCAATGTGCATATTTTAGAAGGTCTAGTGCTTATTTAAGCCAACAGCAAGGAAAATTAGTTATGAAAACAGAAAAAGAAAATAATGCAATCATAAAACTGGAAGGACGCAATTCAGCCCATTAATAAAAAGAAGCTACTGCAATAATTTATCCGGGACTGAGAGAACAGATACTGTAAGTACAGTCCTACAACACTTCAAATAAGGATCTGGCAGAGACACATACACCTTGCCTGCATTAGCATTAGAGCAGCAACAAGGTTTTGGAGCAAATCCTCCATCATTCCCACTAACCACGTGCTGACTCAGTTCCCAGGGCTGTTCTGGTACATGCAAAATACATCCCTTTTCAGGGAAATCAAACTAGAGGCTCTGCTCCTGCTGGGCACAAAACATACTCCAAAACCCTAATGAGCTTTTTTCAAGTCTTCCATCGCCAGTGTGACTTAGCAGAAGAGGAATGTTCTTCTATGAGACTGTATTGCTCTTTTACAAGAAGCTCAAATAATGGATTTCAGGTACATAATTTACGACACAGGAAAATTATCTTCATAAACTGACAGCATAGCCAGTCTGCTAACAAGAGCATTTTTAACCAGGGACAACAACATGGCAAACACACACACACACACACACACAAAATCAACTAGTTATCATTCATCATATTTCCTCCCTCTCTTTACCTTACATATTGCCATACAGAATTATTATTTAAAGTAAGTTTTTGTTTAGATATCCAGAGCAAATGAGAAGCAACTCTCACCTGTGGAGGAGGTACCGTTATTGGTGCAGGCAGGGGAACGGGAATTGGAACAGGTAAAGCTTTAGGTATAGGTGACACTGGTTCATTATGTGCAGCTTCTGCACCTCCATTTTGAGCTACTTCATTTTCAGACTTCTTGGGAATCCCCTTCCACTCTGTATTAACAAAAAAAAACCCCAAAACCAAACATACATGTATCAGCTCAGTAGAAGTGGACAAGTTAGTCAAGTACTGCCTCATTAAACTACCACGCTTTGTGATGTTTACAAAAATTACGTAATTGAAAATATTTCGATAATGAGAAGCACAGAGCTAAGTATTTAAACATATTTCTGACAATAAAAATTCCAGATTACTTTAAACACAGTACAGCAAATCACTGAAAAATAGCAAGTACATCTATTCCTTTCATTAGTCATTTAACAATTCTTTGCACTGACAGCATTTATACACGCCAGGGCTCTGAAACACATTATCTGTAACAAAAACAGTACGGCTGTTTTGGGACAAGCTTTCAACAGATTTGTTCCATTGCTCTCAAGCAAGAAGGCAGCAGCTTTTTCACAAATTTGAGAAGTCATTTCTGAAAAAAAACAGCGTTTTCAAGTCTTGAACATGGAAAAGGAGAATATAACAATGAAGAATCACAGCAAAAAAAAAAAAAAAAAGAGCAGCATCAAATACAGCAGAAGAAATATGGCTCCTATTCTTTGTCAGAACTGCCTGGAAAAAGACAGCTAAGCAGAAAAAAAGGGTTCGGCGAAGAGGCATTATGGAAAGAAAAAAGCACTGAGAAGACTGGAACACATTGAGGTTATGTTTATCATTTGTTAGACTTTCATTTAAAATACATGCTCAACTTATTTTTGTGTATTTAACATGAAGAGATGCTACTATTTAGAATAACCACCACCTAATGAGGGCAAATTGGACAGATTGACAAAATCCTGAAATAATGTTTCAGTAACTAGACAGCACATCACACAATGGTTAAAACCAACACAGTAACCTAGAGTACCAATTCAAAGAACTTAAGGCAATTTCAATTTTTAAGTACTGCATTCATTTAATATTACAAAAATCACAACAGCCAGGACACTAGTCACTCTATATTGATTTGAAGCCTGCAATTGATTTGAAGCTGCTGGTTATAACAGGTGTCATTTTCTTAATACAACCATAAAAGCCTGTATTTTACTGCTTACATACGAGATTTGCTAAAGGAACTCAAAAATTTCACAAGTGTGAAAACTATAGGCACTTTTTTAGAAATTATAAATTTGCCATCAGCTCAGTTGCTACACAAGTACTCCAAAGGTGGGCTCCTTTGCTAGGGGTGCCTCACACAAACCAGTAGGAGGGAAGGGACAGGACCAAGCTGCCTCTGGGACTAACAACTACAACACACCTGCATCATGCATTACCATCAAGGGCAAACACCAGCACAGCTGACAGGTCACTTAGTATCCACATGCATTTTTAGCCTAGCCTCTCATAACACAGCTGCACAACTCCTGATGAGGGACTGTCATTAACTGCTTACAAACTCTCTCCAATCTACGGGTTACATGTGCTGCACTTGTTAGCCATTTCAATGATTTTATATGCACCTCAGAGTCCTGAAAGTCAGCCACACCAACTTCAGTACACCAGCATAAAAGACAATTTTTAAAAGCATTTAAAGATGTAGCAATACTTTACCTGGACTAAGAGTTTCATTGTCCAACATTCCTCCTTCACAGAAACTTTCAAGATCTTCAGGTTTCACTTTGTCCCATGGTATGTAAGTAACACCTAATTCTACATCCCAATACTGCTTGTAATCTGGCTTTATTCCTTTATTCAAAGCCCATGCAATCTTGGGGGAAAAAAAATACATGTAGTCAATAAAATGTTTCCATTTTAATGGATTTAATATTTAGTTCTCACAAAACAGCATTACCAGTGAGGCTAAAAAGTGAAAAGAATACTCTAATTGAAAGAGCAGGAAAAACAGGTTAGTTATAAAACTCTGAAAGAAGACTTTTTTTAAAGCAGGCTTAGTTCTTATTTCTTGGCTTGACTCTTGCACACGATTTGCAAAAATGTATAAAGGCAGTTTCTTCAAATGTTCCCCAGTCACTAAGATTAATTCTATTTCCCTTCAGAGAACAGTGTTGCACGCTAATACGGTGTTCCACAAAAGGAAGAACTTCACTAATGAATGCATTCTTCCCTATTTATTAGTACTCTTTGTAGTATTCTCACGTATAATTATACTCTGTTATAAAACAAATTACCACCAACAAGAAAAACATAGTTACAGTCCACTGTAATGACTAGAAGAACACCATTTTTGTTGGTTAAACAGACAATTACTATACAATGTTTTCAAGAAAACTGATACAAGTTCCACTAGTCATGTTACAGAACAGGAAGAATACTTATCAAGAAAAGTGGTCCATTCACATAAATTTACATAATACCATACCCAGAATACATAGAAGTATAAAATACCCTGAAGTCCAGAACAGATGAAAAAGGATTACAGTAATTACAGTAACTTTAGAACAGCCTGACATTTTCCAAGAAGTACCTTTATAGATTTCTGATTGACTTTGAAGTTTCCTCGGCTCAGTTTTTGTAGGGCACGGTAAGCATCTTGTCTGTGAACCATTACAATATAGGCACATCCTCTAGGCGGTATCATCTGTTTGTATTTTAAGAAAAAAAAAAATGGTTTTGCTAGCACGTTAACAAAGTAACGAACAACATACAAGTGTTCAATTATAGTAAGCTGGGACATTGGCAGGTGTTTCAAAAAGGACTATGGAATTATGAAAAAGAATGTTAGTTTAAGAGGCTAACATAGCCAGTATCTTCTGGAATACAAATTTCTAGTAAATTAAAAGCAACTTCTTATGTGGAAAGTTTTAAACTCTATTCCGTGCAAGACTGTTATATATTTAATCCTTTAAAATTGTTAAACAGTAGTGCTCATGTAAATGCTGTGGTCTGGCAATTAGTTACTTTGTTGGAAGAAACAAGACACTCTAATACCCCACTTCATTCCATATACTGCAAGCTGCCAGCTGGACCTCCACATTCAGTTTTATCTGCAGTTTTGTAATGATTTTTATTATTCGTAATGCATTTGAGAAAAAACTTCTATGTTGATTTTACAAAATTTGGGAATAGAAAGAAAATTACAGTCACTTCTTTTTGTTTGTTTGTTTTAATGAAATTTTATAGCTACCGGAACAGCTATCATTTATACATAAAAATATCCTTAAATACAGCACTGCATAAGAATAGTTCCCCATATTTATGACTAAAATGACAGAAGAGAAACAAGCAAAAGAAACAAGAACACCAGCTGAGTGTCCACATTTCTATAATCAAACAAAATGGAGCAGACAAGGAACTCAGTAGTGCAGTATGTAATTCTGTATCCATCTCCTCAACAGCCCTTTCTCATTCAATTCTCTCCAGAGAAAGCATGATTTTTATGAAAATGGGATAATCTTCTGTATTACCCCCAAGAGCGTTTTTAAATTGCAAGAAACAAAAGCAACTGCCTTCTTGTTTTTCTACAAAGCGGCCAAATGAATTGAGTTTACCCATTAGAAAACACAACCATATAGGAAATGAGAGCTCTTGACTCATTCCAATTTATCAAAAATAAAGCTGTCTTAAAACAGTCTGAATTTTTTGTACCCAAGGCACAAAGTAGCTTATGCCGTACCATTTATACTTACATTTATTGATTCAATTGGGCCAAACTCCTCCAAAAGACTTCCAACATCTTGCTGAGTTGTCCTTTTGTCAAGTTGTCCTACCCAAAGCGTAGTACTACAAACTACAATGAAAAGAATTACACAGACTTACTGTAAGAGCGCTTGGAAATACACATTTCACAAGCCAGAGTAATATTAAGCCAGCTAATACTAAAATATATATTTTAATCTTTAGGAGTGTTCAAAAGAAACCTCTTTTGCTTGCCTGCCTGGAGCTGTGTTAACATTTAACCACAGCAACTACATCAGAATCACTGTTAGAATGCACTAAGCAGCTCTCTAGTTAACTATCTTTGAAGTGACCTGCAAGTTCTGATGATCGTGAGCTCTGCAAATCATCATAAAAAGGAAAAACATGCTTTGCTGCTAACAATACTCCATGGAATCCCAATACATACAGTGGATCCTTCTCAAGAAGGTAACTCACTCTGCTTAGTATGAAATCCAAGCTACGGGGCACCATCACAAGCTATGGATAGTACTTACTGGCAAGATGGTAATTAGATTGTTTATGGTGATACACCCACTACTAGCAAGATTTTCCTCCAGAATGTGGTGCCAATTCAATTACAATGAGCAACCAAACTTTTAACCTCTTTAGTGACCTATCCAATGCCACTTTTTTTCTGTGGTTAATGGAAAACTATTGACACAAGCTTTTTGTTTCAGGAAAGAGTAAGCACCATGCTTATCTCACTTCATGCTTCGAGGTAATAAAACAGCAGATGAGCTCAAAGTGTCACATTTGCTGAAGACTACTGCAGCAACGTTTAACACTCATTTTTTTCCCCACTAAGTGATAAGAAACTGCAAACCTAAAAAGCATTATGTGACAGGATCCAGGAGAGATGTTGGCAAAAGCATATCGTACACCACTGCCAGTAACCTTTTAATGAACAGCTACTAAGTCTTCACAGTCCTTTGTCATTCACAAGGTTTTAGCTAATTAAAGCTCTTTAGTTTTTGTCCCTCTTCTATAAAAATGAATGTTCTCATTTTACTTGATGATTCCTGAGAAGATTCCACACTCCCCAGGAATATTCAGAAGGCAACTACTACATTTTGTCTGTAAGGAAAAGCCAGGATTATTTCAGCAATCTGAATGCTAGCCTGTGTGTTTTCCAGGTCAAAGCTCCCCTCCATGTCTGAGACACACACAACACTGAATCATTAGAAAAATCATAATAATGTGCTCAACTTCTTGTTGCTCAATCTGCTTTACCTTATATGCCTTGAAGGAAGGAAAATAAAAACATGGCGTTTTAGCCTTTTCTTTCCTCATTTTACTGCCAAAATATTTCTGACTTGGAAGCAATTCCAAAAATGCCAAATTGTCTACTACAAGTGAAGGAAGTACAGGGATGTGTGGTGAATTTAATTCTTACCAGCTTTACAACAGTTCAGAAAATATATCACAGTACAGTTTACTTCTATTCTGTTTGGATGAGTCTTGGAACCCACATCAAATAGCATTAAACCCAAGAAAGGAACAAAAAATAACACACATCAGATAGAGTTGTCTTCTAGGATATTCTGAGCAGGTATCAAATAGTGAAGGTAAAGTGGACTTGTGAACATTAAATTAAAAAAAAAAAAAGTCTAATAGATAAAAGAATTGTATTTCTTCAACATTTACAGTTTTTCTAAAATAGCTGTCTTAGTATTCAATTTTACATAGGCATAATATCTACTGTAATACCTTCAACTTCACTTCATACTTCAACACAAAACTCTAAAATTCCTTAAAGAAACTACTGGGCACAGACAAAAAAAAAATCCATACATGAACCAGGAAGATGCTAAGCATCTGAAAAATGGTATTACAAGAATTTGCAGAGTTAATGAAGAGAAAGAATAAACTTACCACTAACAGTTTCTGACTTGATCTGAGGAAGGCCTTTTGACCTGCGTTCTCTCTCCCTCTCACGTTCACGTCTTTCTTGTGACCGAGACTTAGGAGAGTGTCGGCGTCTATCTCTGGACCGAGATCGAGATCGACGATGACGGGACCTTCGAGATCGGGAGCCAGATCTTGAACGTCTCCTTTTAGGTGACCTAGTTTAAACCAACAACCATTTATGTTCAATATTTCTGACCCAGACATTGACAGATAAATAACCATTTCAGACATCTATTTAAATAATGAGGCAAGAGTTCAGTCAATTAAAAAAAAAAATCCAAGTCCATTCACATGCATTTAGAACTAGAATACATTATTACAGGAGCTTATTAATGCACTCCAGCTGAATAGTGGATTATTTTTCAATTTCTTATCTTCTATTAATTTTGTATTGAAGTTGATTACCAAAACTATGTCCACGTTAACATAAAAAAAAAATTAGATCTGCTTAATGAGGAAAATGTTTATTGCTTTTACAAAAGAATGGCTAAAAAAAAAAGAGACTAAAAATAAATTCTGCCAGTGAAATTGTATTTTATATCATGTTCAATTTCTAAACCACTCAAGGTCTGGAAGACAGAGTAAACCTTCAAGGAAGTCATATGAAACTTGGCAAAGGAGAAGACTTGTAACTAAGGAGACAGCTTTACTTTAATACTGGAGCCAGATTTGTTAGGTCAGCTGACACACATGGAATACTGCCTCTGTGACAGGCAAAGTCCCATAGTACACTGGATCACAGATTTCTTCATAAGAAAAGTGTCTTTAGAGAGCAGACAAAACTAGCATATTCTGCTTCCCTACAATTTGCTCAGACTAACGGGCATGGAAATTACTTTCTACCAATAAAAGAGAACTGCATAGATACCCCATTTTCCTTAGAAGGTAGATGACTTTCAGAGGTTCACAAGTCTTAAGAGTTACTAACCTGATTCTCATTACCTCTCCATTGAAGTACATACAACATTTAGCTGTATTATGCACAACTCCCCTTAGAGGTAAGAGATTGAAAGGGTCTCTTTTTTTCCTCTCTTCCAGAAGGGGAATTCAAATAAAGCCCTTGACAGTTTTGACTTTACCAAGAAATTTCACTTGTGTTATCCATACAGAGAATAATACACAGACAGTAACTTCCTGTAATTAATCCTTAGATTAAATTGAAATGGACTCTTTTGCTAAACACATCTTTAAGCATTTAGTCATAGAATCCAACTTGTAACAGCACAAGTGGGCACTCAGAAGAAACAGCCTCAAACAAAGTATGCTGAGCTGGGAACCCAAGAAGCTAACTCAAAATACAGGTAACAGGACTACGTTCTAAGGCACTGAAAATGAACTCCACCAATAGTTCGAGGAGTTAGCTCACCTCTCAGCTATTTACTGTCATCTCAGTTAGAAGTTACCACCCCCACAGTAGATTTGGCAGCACAGCACCAGATTCTCTGAGCTCCACATAATCAGCATAACTCTCCTCAGTACTCGTACAGAATTACTAAAGCATTTTCAAGTCTTTGGACATGACACACTTAAGTTCCCTATGTTAAAATCCAATATGTGATATAATATATAGACTTACTAAAAGAACTTTCACTAATTTACCTTGATGCAGATCTAGATCTTGACTTTCTGTTGTCAGAAACATGCCGTTTTCCCTCCTGAATGGGTGGCTGTTCCACTTCCATATCCTAAAATATTAAGTTGACTGGTGTTATAGGTAGAGTAGCACAAGCATTTTATTTCATTTTATGCCTAGACTAAGTTACATAACAGCACTAAAATGATATTGAATATTCATATATGTGAAATTAAAATGTAATATAACTCTCCTCAGAAACTTCACCACTACTTGGTAGTCACTAATAGGGAGACAGTCCAGTATTAAATGAACTTAATACAACCACTGCAAAGACATAATAAAAATAATTTACACAAAGTCTCATTTTCAATTTGCAAATGATTGTTTTTCCATATTTTAGTAAATTTCAGCACTGCATATATCTCCACGGAATGTGACTACATTCCTTAAAGTCAGTCAGCAGATCTTGCTCTGTCACCAAAATCATAGGCCAAGTAAGATCTGCCAGAAAACTTTTCTCCAAGATGTTATAGGAAACTACTTTAAGCCATACATAAAAGCAAATTACAATACAATAAATGTGAAGAATGAAGCAGTAAGTCATCAAAACAATACACAAAATGCAAGAACCTGCTTAAAAAAAACCCAGTGAGTTCAACACAGCTCTTCCTTCCTACCCCAAATCCTCTACAGCTTCCCAGTCCAGAACATAGTGTGTCCTGCCTAAAGTTTAAATAGTCTTCATGAAGCAACCTTGGCTGGAATGTACTAATTCAACAGAATTCAAGACCAAAACACTAATTACAAAGATACTCCTGAGAATTGTCCCTTTATTCCAAGAGGAAAACAAAACTTATTTCTAGAATCTGTGACATCACAGGTCATCACATAAAGACAGCATGGTTTCATCTCTATTTCTCATTTTAGGATTTCCTTTTCTTGGAATAAAAGAGGCAAATATATTCGATCTTTAACAAAAAAAAAAAAAAAAACAAACAACAAAAAACCCCAACCAACAAAAAAAAAAAAACAAAAAACAGGCTCCTAAGTAGACTTGCTCTTTGATTTCTTCTTAATAGCAGCTAGTTACCAAACCAACAACATCCTCCAAAATCTTAGGAACAAGAGAGGTGTTTACATACACTTGGATTTTTTAAAACTTTTACAGACTTCAAAGTTCATTTCCAATATATTAGTGATCTACCAGGCCCTTAAAAATTCACTTTTCCAGACAGTTTCTCTCCAGAATAAGATTGCATTGTTAGAATTCCATGGAACAAAATATTCCCAAAGCATGATGGGGACAGGAGACGGAAGTGATAAGTGAAGGAAAAAATGCAATCCAGAGCCTTTCACAAAAGGAGGCATAAAGCATACATACACTGGTTTTGCTAGACTTCTCAAATACCAGACTTGTCATGTAGCACTGCAGCTATCCAACTTTCCCTCAGATGAGCTACCCTCACAGCCATCTCTATCCCTGGTTATCACAAAATTTCTTCTACTGAACTATACACATTTGAGAAAGAGATGTACTAGAGCATTTAAGTTAGTCTGTTTACTGCAAGGGGTCCTCACCTGCTGATGTGGTTTTTGCATGTGTGATTCACTCTGTACTGGAAAAGGAGACTGAAAAGTTTGCTGCACAGGTGCTGTTGGTGGAATCACAGGCTGGGCCATAGGTGGAAACTGCGGGGTAGGCAGAAGACCAAAACCTGGCATTTGCCCATTAGGAGGAAGCGGAACCTGTGGAGCAGAAGAAACATGAAAACTTCCACTTGGGAAAAAATTACATAAGCTTTCCCGGTTTCCTACAGTAAAATTGTATCTCTGCTCCAAAGTCATGATAGAAGACCAGAAGACCAAGAAAGATGAAGTAGGTCAAGCGTTTGGGTGTATAAAATAAAAATCTTGTTCTTCAAAGCTTGACTAGAACAGAGAACAGAAATACGTTTCTTGGGAAAGTTGGAGGGCTAAGCCATATTCACTCTTCACTAATAGGAACACTACTTACTTCTACGTCAAAGAAAACAACAAAAGATAGAAAACGTAACACAACAGAGGGACAAGGGAAAACCCTGAAGTTACCTGGTGACGCATTGGATCCTGTTGTATTCCCATCATTCGCTGCTGAAAAGGATCCATATTTGGGAGTTGAGGAAATACTGGCTGTTGCATACCTTCTCCTGGAAATCCACTAAAACCAGTAATATTTTGGTGAGACAAGTCAGTAGATACACGGATTTTTTTTTGCCTTTATTTTGCGTATTTCTATGTACATTTACACATTCTTGCTTCAAAATTAGACAGAGAAGTTATCTTTTATTATGATTCCATTTCCTATCTAAAAAGTGAAAACAAAGAAAGAAGAGTGGCTTCCTTATCTTTTCTCCATTGTTAAGAGTAGTCCTTTAACATTTAAAGAAATGCTACATAAAGGCTTAAGAAATGCTACATAAAGGTTTAAGCCTCTCGCTCCCCTGTACTTATATGATCTTGCTAAAGATCTCAGTCTATGGAAATTTTTCATGAAGGTTGTCTGCCTTAGGCTAACTTTCTTCCCGTCCAGTTACTCTTTTAGGAAGAAAAGAAGCAAGCCTTTTCCTCAAGGAAAATAATTTGCCATAGTTTTGCTGGAAAAAAAAACTTTAGTTGGGAGGAATTTAGGGCAGAGGAGAAAGGGATATGTATATCACACAAGGATTACAGTAATGCCATTCACTTCCTGATTCAACACACAGAATGGACAGTGCTCAGGGAATTAATGAGGTCTGTGCAGTTAATAGGACCTGTTTACAGGATGCAGTTTGTGTAAGAAACTGAACAGGATTTCAGGAAGATAAAGCAATTTCATGGTGATGTGAAATGGAACTTTGTAGTATTTGAAGACACAGGCGCCATACAATTCTCAGATGATTCTGGATAGATCAATTTTTCATATAGTCTATTACTGATTTTGTGTGCCCAAAATGAGACTACTGGAATCCAATCTTCAGAGGCATCTTATGCAGCTGTACGGTAATAAGGACAGAGGCTTTGAAGTACTAGGAACAGAACATAAACATGCTGAAAAGCCTAGTCCAGTGATCTCTAGTTAGGCATTACACAAGCAGTGCTTATGTTTGACCTACCTCATCTTTCTGTACTCCAGAGTTCCATCTGTATTATAGGGAAAATACTACCAATTTACTTAAAAGGCATTTTAATTAAACAAATATTTGTGGAACATTAAAGTGCTCAAGGTGATAAACACAGTAAGAAAGCTAATGACAAAGTTAGCGATTCTGTTTTTGAGAGCAGGGTTTGGATGGCATATACAGAAAGTATGGGGCCACGTATTGAAGCAGGGAAAAAAGAAATGTTGACTAACCCAGATATTGAGCACCATCCAGCCTGTGCACTGAATGAGAGAGAGGTCCTGTGGAAAAAACTAGTATGTGATCATGTAATTTAAGACTTTATCATAATGCATATCAAAAGGGAAACAGGAGTCTGAGTTAGTTTGCGTGGGTATTTAATGTTTGAGAACATAAAGCTGCAAAGCCAATTCTAATTTTTTAAATAGTTAAAACTACCACATGTTTGGAATAGCATCTTTTCCCCAGCCAGCAAAGCAATGCAGCTGATTACCAACAATGTCCTGACACGCTCAGTTGTGCAATAAAAACATGGAACTTATCTTGAAACCAAAACTGAGCTTTTCTCTACAGAATACATCCCTCAATCAATGATGCCACATGCCAAACCTACACCAGATCACCAAAGTAAAAAGACAAAAAAACCCAAAACAACCCACCGGAAGTTGTTAATAATGTTTTAACTTTGGACTATAACAGTTAAACACTAAAGAAACTTGGAATTTTAGTCAGCTTTCTAACCTGAAGATTTTTTAGAACAAAGATTTGTTAATTTTACTATGACACAAAACTTACAAAGCTGGCTGAGAAACTGAAGGAGAAGGAGCTGAATCTTCTTTCTTCGAATCTTCCACTGCTTCTGGTTCATCATCATAGTCAAAACGATCTAGCAGCTTCTGAAAGAAATTACATTGAGCCAACTATTTTTTCTGTATCATATAATTGGCAGCCAAAATATCCTTGTTATCAAAGTCTTACCATATAGCTAACAGCTCTGGAATTAAAGACAAGGTTAGAATCGGGGAAAGAGGGGAAAAAAAAAAAAAAAAAAAAAAGAAAATCTGTATTCCAATACAGGATCAGAAACTGTCCAAAACCAGTTTTATTCAGCTTCAGGAAACACAAAGGCTATAAAACCAGGAAGCTGACCTCCAAACGGAAAGAGAAGAAACGAAATTTGCATCACTTTTCTCCTAACAAATGGAGGACATCGAGGCATCCAACAAAGTCTTCTGCTGAACTGAAAAAGTTAAACACAAAGAACAAATGAAGACTTACTTTGTCAAATGATGTTTTTTGCTCAGGTGGTGGGAAAGCAGCTTTCTGTTCTGGTGGTTGTGCTGCTGTAGTTTTCAGCTGCGCAGTAATAGCTTGAACCTGAGCCATCACAGTGTTATCTATGACGGGTGACTGGGGTTTTTGAGGCTGCTGAAAAGTCTGAAGAATTTGCTGAAGCTACAAAAACATATATAGTATTAAGTATATATTCTTATATAAACACATAGTATTGAAAGAGTTGTAGGACATAAATTTCGCATCAAAACAGACTATGGCACAGGATGAACACTGCCAACAACCTGACTGAACTATGGAGAACTTTCACAGCAAGACCAAAAGTCACTTTTTAAATAATTCAGTGGAAAAAATTCAGCAGATCCCAATATTTCAGTGTTCACGCCTTTCAACACTGCAAACATTTAGGTGGACAGAATAGTAAAACTCAACATTTTGTTTGATATATTCCACCTGTTCTTGAAACTTTGTAACTGCATCAATTCAGAACTAATTATTTAGGAACACATAACTGCATTTTCCTCAAATACCGTAACTACTGGATAGAAGGGTCACAGATCATACAAATACTGACTTTAACTCTTACAAGTTTTCCACTGAAGAGGCTTTTTGTTTTGCTTCAAATCAAGTATGTTACTTCCATCATTTCCCCCCCCTCATTTAACATGAAAACTGAAGTTAAAAGGGAACCAAATATAAACAGGTTACCTGTTGTCCTTGCGTTGTTTGAAACAACTGAGCTACAGCTGCAAAGGCATCAGAACTGGGCAACTGTGGCACAGTAGGTACTGAGTTAGCAGTAACTTGAGGGGGGTCCGAAGGAACCTTTGCTGGAGGGGGCGGCGAACCTGAGTTTCATAGCAATTGAGAAAGTGCTACATTACTCCAAGACATTCATCTTACTCTTCAGTGCATACATCTACCTCCTCAAAACAAGTGTCTATCTACAACACTCTAACCCAAAAAGTCCTATCCAAACTACCCCAACTGTGCATTCTATTCATTTTGCCTTTAACTGCTCCATTCATTGTTTATATCTGTGCATCATAAACACTAAGAAAGAAAACAAAATAAAATGGCCTGTCTGAAAGCTAGCCCAGCATGGTATTTTAGATCACAACTCAATGTTTGTAATTGTACAATTTCAGAAAAGCTAAGACAAAAACTGTTACTCAAACAACGTTAAGCAATGCTTATCATTACACTTAAAACATAACGTTAGTTCTGGTTGCAAAGTTCTGGATGTATTATTTTGGATGAGTATTTTAAATCAATTATCTAATGGCTCATTTTAAGAGCAACTGAGTTTCTCTTAATATTTTCTATTTTCTAGCAGTAACTGAACTTTTGCTGAAATGTCTGGTAATAATTAAAGATTTTTAAAAATTACTTCACAAGCAACACTTTTTTCTTTGATAAGGTTTATTTTGCACAGGCACAAGCCAAACCTGCATCTGATAGATAAATCCTCCTACCATAAAAATAATTTCTACTAATTCTTCCAGGAGAAGACTCACATTTCCAACAAGCTTTACTAAAACTGAGATCACATTTTAAGACATGCCATTAGCTTTGTCTACACATGCAGCTTTCCCATTCTCTTTGCTTTAGATGACAATGTGTTTTTTTCTTAATTTTGCCAGTACAAAGTAAGTTAGGAGTAATACCATCAATTCCTACATGCTGTGAGCAAGTAACTATTCTTTAGCAAATACATTTCAACGGACTACTATAAAACTGTAGAAGGAGAGAGAGTTTAAAAAAACCCACAGCTGGAAATATTTTTTAGTTTCAGACATTAAGCAAATGTTTGCCTCACAATACCAACTTCTTTAAAGCCATTCGTCTGTTTGCAGTTTAAATAACTGCAGTGTTGACATGCAGCAAGCAGAGACAAACATGTTGAGTATTTTCCCAAAAGTCAGATGCTACATAAAAATACTGCAAAAAGATACGTGATTTTTTTTAAACATAAATTAACTCCCAAATTAGTTCCTGTATATATTCAGAAGGATATTTGCTTGCTCAAGGGAGAAAATTTGCATTTTTCTCACTCTCTCTTTTTGGTTAAACAGACTTTGTAGCATTATGAGCTAAAGAGATTCTATTTCATACAAAGCATTAATATATTTATTATTATTCATTAGCATATTTATTTCAGGGCCAAATTATCCCCCCTGGTGCATCTGAATATTCTCACTGAAATCAGTAATTTTGTACCTGAAAATCTACGCAGAAGGCACCCAACCTGTTAGCTACTAGTGATGAGACAAAGATGGAAGCGTAGTGCCACTCATCTGTCATACTAGAATGTCATTGTATAGCCACCAGTCTGCACCCAAGCTCAGATGCTAAGACATTCCCTCCCTCTGCCCTGCCATGTTTATAAAACATGTCAACAGGATATGCTTTCCTACACACCGCTGGAGAGGATTTCACTTATGCTATTTTGCATCATTATTTTGTTGTCTATTGCCACACTGCACTCACTCCCATTACATTTTTTGCCAGTCCTACTCCAACATACATGACTGCAATAAATAAGGAGGTTACCAAAGCTAAGTCTGAAATATAGAGTGAAAACCCAGAAAGAAGGCCCTCCAGAGAAAGAGAGAATTGTGATATGCATATTCTCATCCACAACTTGGTAACCTCACTACCAGCTACTTATGTGGCATAAAATAAGTCAGTGAAAATACTGTTGGCAGGCCATCGTTACTTTACACTTTAGGTCAGTGGTTTTCAACCCGTAGCCCATGTAAAAGGCTACCGCCAGGCATTGATTTACTTTTCAAGACTCTGGATTTGAAACACCAGTTAAAATGTTTCGGAGCTGCATACTTTAAGAGACTGACAGCTGCTGCTATCAGATACTAAGTTGATTCAAAGATGAAGCTCTTAACATGTAAGAGCATGCTTTACTTATCCAAATTCTAACATTAGAAAAGGACATCAGAATTATAAAATTGAGAAACAACAGAAAAATATTTCAGATTAAAAGAAAAAAAAAAATTAAAATTTTTTTTAAGAGGGGAGATTGAAGTCATCTGTAAGTGTGCACATGTGTATGTATATATGCATACACAATATAAATTTTAGATATTTTCCAAGTAAGTGTTCACATTCTGCTAATTTCTGAAGTACAGTACCAGCATTTACCTAGAATGAGTTCAGCTGCTCCATATAATTGAGACAGCAAAGTTGAGTTTTAATATATGCTACTGTTGAAACAAATAGTAGGCGCTTTAATGTGAAAGCAAACAAGCTATTATCATTCACCCTTTTAAAAGAAAAAGTTATAATGTCATTCATACCTTCATTATTAGTAGCATTTTCTGTCATTGGTGCAGTGGCACTAGTTCCTGCTGCCATATCCAGAAGAGGTTGAATTATTTCAATTTTAAATACTCCATTTTTCTGCCAAAGGTTGAGGACACGGACTATTTTACTCTGTTGAAACAAAAGCAAGCATCAGCACTAAATATAGCTTTCCTAATTCACAAACTCCAAATTTATCTTCTGTACATTGAGACGAAAGGTTTGAACAGTACAGGAGTTCAACATAATCAGGCATACCTATTTAACAACATGTATGTTGTCACATAGATCAGCAAGACCTTTTACATGGCAAAGATTAAAACTGCCAACTTATTTTACTGTCCACTTCAATAAAAAGCAATTTGTGCCATTTTTCCAAAACTGTTCTGGCCAGCCAGAAAATCTAGGTTTGATATACAATAGAGGAAGTCACATGAGCCCCACCATTTCTTCACAGATGGTCATAAAGGGGTGGAACAAACAACAAATGCAACAAGAAAGAAGAGAAAATGAAGATGAGTTGGAAAGCCCTAATGAAGAGAGGGGCAACTAGACCATAAAATGCTAAAACAAAGCTTTAAAGCTAGATAGAAGATTGTTTGCTTGTTTTTTTCTACTAACCCAACCAATTCTATGTTGACACCAGAAAACCCATCTCCATCGTTATTCAAAAGATCAGGAAAGCAAGTGGAAAACATTCTAACATCACTGCAGAAAGATTAAATTAGAACCTCTGATTGTCAGCTGTTATTTTAAGCTCGTTTCTTTTTTTAACATTAAGAACAATGAAGCTTTCAGGAACAAGCTGGAAATTAGTCTTTCTTTCTTTCTTTAGCCCAGTATTAAACAATAATATCTAACTAGATGTGCTGCTTCAGTTGGAACACGCAGGCAGGTAAAAGTCAGAATACATGTTACATTGACATACCTGTCCTTTTTGTATACTTAAGTCATCTGACTTGCACACATATACATTTCAAGTACTTCTTCTACTATAGCTGCTAAGAATTAATCGATTCTGTTCCTTCTTGTTGCAACAATAAAATGCCTTACTGTGACTCAGTTTTATACACCCATGCAAACCCACCTATACTTTCATAAGCTAAGCAATTAAAGAATTTCACAAACTGTTTTCTACAATAGGATCAAATAGAGAGAAACCTGAAATGGCTATTTTTAAATTAGATTTTGATCTTAAAAAACATTAAAACATCAGCATTTTTTGGCTTTGGGTATTCTATCTCCCCAGAAGACTTGAAAATAATATGAAGGCAAAAAAATGAATAAATTTAATACTCTTGTTTTCAGTCACATATTAATCTTACAGAAAGGCTGTTAAAAAAAGAAAGTAGTATCATTCTCTTTGGATATCAACCATAGCTGTTGTGTATCTGCAATCAGGTTTTTTGTTTAGGTACTGGAAATTCATTAAAGCAAGCATGTTATAAATAGTATTATTGCCCTAGTGGAAAGCCTGTTAATTATTTTAGCAGTGAGATATCACAGAATCATTTGGTTGGAAAAAACCTTTAAGATAATCAAGTCCAACCATACGTGTCCACTCCTAAACCATGTCCCTAAACACCTCGTCTACCCAGCTTTTAAATACCTCCAAGGATGGGGACTCAACCACTTCCCTGGCCAGCCTGTTCCCATGCTTGACAACCCTTTCAGTGAAAAACTTTTTACTAGTATCTAATCTAAACCTTCCCTGGCACAGCTTGAGGCCATTTCCTCTCGTCCTACTGCTTGTTACTGTGGAGAAAAGACCAATGCCTGCCTCGCTACAGCCTCCTTTCAGATAGTTGTAGAGGGCAAGGTCTCCCCTCAGCCTCCTCTTCTCCGGGTTAAACACCCCCAGTTCCCTCAGCCACTTCTCCTCTGACTTGTGCTCCAGACCCCTCACCAGCTTCGTTGTCCTTCTCTGGACACGCTCCAGCACCTCAATGTCCTTCTTGGAGCGAGGGGCCCAAAACTGAACACAGTATTCGAGGTGCGGCCTCACCAGTGCCAAGTACAGGGGCACAATCACTTCCCTAGTCCTAGTGCTGGCCATACTGTTCCTGATACAAGCCAGGATGCTCTTGGCCTTCTTGGCCACCTGGGCACACTGCTGGCTCATATTCAGCTGGCTGTTGACCAGCACCCCCAGATCCCTCTCTGACAAGCAGCTTTCCAGCCACTCATCCCCAGGCCTGTAGCATTGCATGGGGTTGTTGTGACCCAAGTGCAGGACCCGGCACTTGGGTCTTATTGAACCTCACACAGTTGGCCTTGGCCCATCAATCCAGCCTGTCCAGATCCCTCTGCAGAGCCTCCCTACTCTTGAGCAGATCAACACTCCCACCCAGCTTGGTGTCATCTGCAAACTTACTGAGGGTGCACTCAATCCCTTGTCCAGGTCATTGATGAAGACATTAAACAAGACTGTCCCCAGAACTGAGCAGCCAGATTCTCCAGGAGAATGTTGCGGGAATCTGTATCAAAGGCTCTACTAAGGCCCAGGCAGACAGCATCCACAGCCTTTTCCAGGCTGTGTCATGAAGGAGATGGATAGTATAATTCATTTAGATGAACAAAATGGTAACCACAAAGACAGAAAGAAGAAGGGACTGCTCTATTTCACCAGGGTATTAACCCAGAAGCTCCTGAGTATTGGAGTTGAGGCCTAAAGGTCTAAATGTTCCACATTAGAAAATGACAGAGCACCAAAAAGCCGAGTTAGAAAGTTAGGGGGAAAGTCAGTTACAGAAAGAGTATTTTGCTCTTGTAGTACTGTAACTAAGAAAAAGATAGAGTAGGAGATTTTTCTGGAAACCACTTGGCAACTTCTAAAACACCCTTATCTCGGAAGTCTTTTCAAATTGTTCTGACAGAAGGTATAAAAGCCATCTTCTGTTGGTAGCAACCTGGACCATCACGAATTCAGGATACTCTCTGAGCTTCTGTTCTATCAGCAACTATAGCAAAACTAAGAAAACCAAGGTCTTAAACCAGTCTTGACAATGGACAGCAGCAATGAAATTCTCAAGTATGGGATTTGTAAAGACTGAAGAAATCAACATGGTTATTTTCTCAGAAAATATTTGGGAGCAGAACCTTCACTGCCTACAACACCGGAGCTTCTCCTGTAACACTTCCTTTCTGTGGGAGACATCATCTTCCACAGTAAGCTTTCCTGAAGGAGCCTCAAGGAGAAAAGTTTTGGCATAGTCACACACACACTTGAAGAGTCTGCATAGGCAAAACCAAAACTAACAGAAGTTAGGCAAAATAAGTATTTCAACTAGAAGTTTCATTTAACGATCACCATTCAACTAATCTTTCTCAGCATGTTTTACCACTTCATATAATAACATTCACTACTGTGGACATAGAGAATCATCAAATTAGCTTCCACATAAGTAGAAACACCAAGGTAGCACTGTTATCAATTCACAACAACACTTGAGAAATTATAGTTGTACCTTGTCTTCAGATGGACAGAGATACAAATACTGGAATGTGGCAGTAATATTTTTAGAGAATCTTGGCCCAAAAACATCTTTGTCTGTTCCAAACTGGTGACGAGACTGACGAACAATAGAGTCAATAACGTACAATCCAGGGACTTTATATTCCGGTTTGCACTGAAAACATAGAAATAATTTTCCATTATGCAGTGATACTAACAAGGTAATATGCATTCACCTTAGATCCTTGCACAAAATCTATACTTAGTATACTTCAGTAGAAAAAAATAATGTTAATTTGTTGATGTAGAATTCTCTTAGTGGTTTACTTTTGCTTTGTTTATAGAAATGGAAAAGAAAGGAGAAAAACATGCTTTCACATTTGGGACAGAGTAAATATACCTGGATAGCTTGAAGTACCCTTTATTGTCTCAATCACTGCTTTTAAAGTACCTTTAGCTTGAAAACATGTGACCACAACAACAGGTCTATCACATTACAGTACAGACTGTCACAACTCTGCTATCAAGCTACCTCACACTCAGTGCACTGAACTACTTTCACCAACTCTATTCTCCAGAATTTAATGCTAAGTCCTTCTCTTTCGAGGTCCCTGAAGGACTTTGAAAGACTATTTTTCCTGTTCACTCAGAGGAACTTACATTAGGCAGCATGGTAGTTTGGTTTTAGTGAGTATGACATTCTAGCCTGTTGTTCTACATGCCTAGACAAGCATGAAAACTGTATTTTCTGAAAATACATATTATCTTAGCCAGTGAAAATTAATTTGAAGTTCAGTACCTCCAGTTTCCTCCCCAGTTGCTGGGTAGAGGAGGAATTTCACAATTTTTTCTCCTCCCCTTCTGAATGTACTATGGAAAACTAAAATTAGGCGATTGTATAGACAATGATATACCAAAATGTATAAAACCCTAATAAACAGAATTTCCTCCCTCAACCCCTAACAGAAGCCTTTTTGATTATTTACTAGCATTATTAATAACATCTAGTAATGGATACAGACAATATCTTTATCAGTAGATTATTTTTTTACCTTTTTGATGAACTTCTCCACAATCTGGACAACATGCTTGTAGAGCTGGAAAACAAATACATACATTAATTCATCATCTACTCAACAGTGGTGCATCATTTCAGAAGTATTTTAACTCTTTGTGCTTACTACCACTTAGGAAAGACTCAAACTATTGTAGTCACGTTCTAAAAAGAAGTATGTTATCAAGTTAAGTTAAGCAAGCACAGAAAAAAGATTTCATGGGGGGGACAGAAACAACCCACCCTTTCTGTCAAAAGTGTGTCAGTGTGTACACAAAAGACTTACTGCTTCTAGAGTATTAATGAGAGCTTTTCAGATTTACTTTCTAAGCAAGTCCACTGTGTTTTAATATGCTAAGGTACAGTTGCATCCTGCAACACTTCAAATTTTATTACGCAGAATTCACAACACCCTAGTGGGTGTAGCATTAAAAAGCAATGATTCAAAAAAAAAAAAAAAAAAAAAAAAAGCCGGGCTGCATTACGCTACTAGTCTAAAATCAAGAAATCATATTCACCACCCACTTGTTTCTAGATAACATTCTTAACGCCAACCAGAATAAAACATCCATGAAACTAACACTAGGAAATCCAGAGATGCATTCACTTAGAAGTAAAATAATAAAACATTGCTACTGTTACAGTTTCATGTTTGTTCTATTATACTTTACCTTAATAGCTTTAATGGCAGCTTTTGTGATGAGAATCATTTTTGCTCGGGAAATAGGAGGTTTCATCTCCATCAGTGAAAAAAGCTAAAAGAGAAAACAAATATTAAATATGTATTCTGAAGTTTAAGCAGTTAACCAAAAAGACAACATTTCAGACAACTGATTGATTACTGACATTCCACACTATGTATCGCCACAATGCTGGCTGGCCCTAGAAACAGAGAGACTAACAAGCAGATCTTTCTAGGCAACGTTCAAAGCTATCTTCCTTGTGAACTAACCCACATTCACCGAATTACCAGATTTTGATAAGGCTGCTGACAAAGTTCCATTTGTGTCTAAAAGCTAGTATCTGCTAACTTATGGTAAGAGCACTGCTAATTTATGGTATGGGAATGTGCTATTTTACAAAAACATATAAAACAGAAATGCAGCTTGATTTAAATTAGCCTGAGTATCTGCTTATCAAATAGAAATATTAGGACAGTCCTACAGATAGCTAGACTGACATAATCCTATAGTCTTAAAATAACGTGCATAAAAGTATGACAACTTTCATCCACCAAGGCGATCAAATTAATAGTAAGTTTTCAAATTATCCCACTATATATGGGTATTACAAATGTCTTTAATGGAGATGTTTACCATTTCATTTGCTACGACCATACCACATTGTTATTAACTGCACCAACTGTTCTGGAGAACCCTCTGCACTATTCTCTGTACGAATGTCAACCAGTGGAAAAGTTAATTTCTCAAGGACAAAGTTTTCAGAAGTTACTAGCCTTTATAAATGACAGTTTGAGACATTCTATGAACCCAACTTACAGAATAATTCTGATCTCGTTTCTATAAACACAGCCCAGGCACACTATTTCAAAGAGTTTTAATCATATCAGAAGTTAAGAGTGCCATTCTGTTAAGACCATTAAGCACAAAAAGGGATTCTGCAATGCTAGATTTTATTACTCTTTTTTTTTCTTTTTTCAAAGTGTGAATTCACAGAAAGCATATTCTACATTCAAAATGTGTAGGATACAGGTAGGATGTTCAGCTCTTCAAATCTAGAAGTGTGACTCTAAGCAAAAAAAACCCAAACTCCATTTTCACAAATAGCATCACCATGACTTATATCTCATGTGTGACAAAATTTATTGCAAAACACTTTTGAAAAGTCTTGAACCTAGGCATTCAGAAGACTCTGTCATCCATTATTGACCATAACTCTGAAAACAAGTATTAGCTTCACGCTTCAGAAACTGAGAAACTAAAACTTGCACGCAGAACTGTCAGAGCTGATGAAACATCCGTGAAGGGCTGAACAGAGAAAGCTGAGGGAAGAGGGACACATTTTCCTCAGGACCCCAGCACCACCTGAACAGCACGACATCCTTATTGTATTTTGCTTCCTGTAGAGCATTTTAAGACAATAGGGAAATAAGGGATTTGGGGAGGCTTGTTTTTAAAAGACAGTCCTACAATCTGGCATTCATAAACATGCATGCATGCATACACATCCCCCAGGAAGACACCAAAATCCAATGCACATTTCACCACTTTCCAGACCACTCTGACTACTCTGGATCTACAGTGAATTCTATGTACTCCATAGGCTGCTGCTGTAATTTCACATAGTGAAATAACCAGTTGCAAAAACTGCACCGTATGCTACACTCTGTTTTTATGGCATACTGTGCACACTTCTGTTCTACTAGTCATCAGACGTGGAAGCATAATCCACACTGGCTTGTCAGCACCATTCTCTCTTCTCCAATCTTCCAAGCAGAAAGAGATCCCAGTACTACTTTTTAATTCCTCCTTCTATATCACAGCTCATGGTTAGATGCTCTGCTTCATTAAATATAGTTTTCTATTTTTCCCATAAACTTAACTTCCTATTTAAGCTGTGGCTTACTAAAGGTAGAATCATTGTATTGCCATGATTTGTATAGTGCAAAAAACAATGGAGATCTTCAACATTTCCTACACACACATAATAATTTTTACCCTGAAATATTCCCCACAAATCATAGAAAAAATGGTTTTGCATTACATCATTTGATTTGCTCTTCACAATAAAGAAAAAACAGAGCCCTTGAATACTAGCCAAAAATGTAATTGACTATTTGCCACAAAGCAAAATAAGAGAATAAAAGTATCTTCATTTGACAGCATAATGGAAAGTAAGATGTCATTTAAAAAATGATCTCTTATTTTTCTATTAATTTAAAGTTCCAAGACACTTGTGAAGTGACCAACTTACACAGATTTATCTACCGTCTCAGTTAAGGAAAAAAACAATGCAGAAAAAAAAATTTGGCCAAGTAGTTAAAAACATGTACAGTGATAACAAGACTTTCAGCAATACAAAACGAAAAAACTTACACCAATAAAATACAAAGACTAGGCAAGAAGGTAATTACTTTCTTAACTCGATTCCTATTCCAGGAGGTATAAAAGAGGAAAAATTGTCCTTCAAGACCGTGGTAGTCAGATAACCTTTTCCAACACCAACATCAAGTCAAGACCATGATTTTTCGTTACTAATTTCCATAAAAGGCAAGTTCTAGTGCCAGAATGTTTGATTTTAAAAGCCATTCAAGCTGTAAGACACACTTCAGCTAACATCCCTGCTTGCCGAGAAATCACAGTACGGACAAATAAAAACTGTCAGATAAAAGACAGAAGGAGAGAAGTATCTGTGAGTTGACAGACTTTTAAAAAAAAGCTAATTTTCAATTTTTAACTATATTTCTTTAGAATAAGAACAAAGACTCTTGATGAATAAAGTCAGTGCTATTATTAAAACTCGGGAAAATCTGTTTCAAGAGGTAATTGAAAGACAAAAAAAAAAAATTCCAACACCCACAAATAAACAACCAGAAGGCTTGAAAAATGAGATGGAAGATGAAAAAAAGGAGCCAACATTAAGACAGGCACTCCATATCCTCTCCTTTACACACCAAGAAGCAACTGGTCCTCCAGAAAAAGGAGCCAGTCCCATATAACAAGAACAAAGAAGCCAGTGTGAAAGCAGCACTTCAGCGTTTGCATTTCAGGAATACAACCAGAGAAAACCAGGAGAACCGGGAGACATAGCAGGACAGAAGATAACAATAAACAAGTGGCAGCAAAAAATAAAAATAAGTGTCTTAAAAGGCATCCCAAGAATAGCGTTGTAACCAGAGGCAAAAGAAAAAAAAAAGATCCAAGGAGAAAGAAACTGCCAGAGGGCAGGAAAAAGGGAAATCAGCTAGAGACACTGAAGGAGCCAGGGAGGATGCAATAAAGAATATGGTAGCTTGGAGAAGTCATTAATTAAAGAACATGAGAGGCTGAAACTTGGGTTAATAAGGGAGGAATAAACAACAGCTTTGGAAGAACAGGACTAAGCAGATCACTGTAAATCGTTCCTTTGCTGTTACAGACAGCACTCTGGGCAACAGCAACAAAAGCACAGTAAAAGCAATGAGGTCAGTACACACAGATATTTCCAGCTCAAGATGAAATCTACAGCTGAAACATGCATCAAACTGAGATGCAAATATTTTTATATACAAATATATATGCACACATACATATATATACACACACATATGAATATGCATATGTGTGTGTGCATATATATTTGTATTCTGCCCTCTCTTCACACACACCCCCATCACTTTCTCTTAGAATAGCGCATCAAAACTTTGTTGCCTTTTTAAATTTTCACAAGACTTTAGAATATCAAACACTATTTTAAAGTTGATTCTTATTTATTTTTCAGTATCATAGTTACACGTATCAAAACCATGTTTTAGAGATGGGTAAATCCAAAATTTAACAGCCTTACTAGTTCCTCATGGATTTTCGCTGTTAGAAGGGAAAACTGTTCAGTAAAAAGCCCCATGTACTTTACATTTGTGTATGTTCAATTAGACTTGGATCTTCTTTCATACACAGTTCCCAATCCAATATATGAAAAAACCCTCAATATTCAGAGGACCATACTTCCAATAATACATCTAATTCCTCGAAGGGCAGCATGGTAAGTTCAAGAAACAACCTAGACACAAAAACTTACACTTTATTTTAAAAAGACATGTGATGGATATAACAAAGGCAACAATAATTTGCAGCTTGAGAGTGTTTCCAATGTACTGCCTCACAACAGGAGCCTGCCCCTGGAATGCTCTGCCCTGTAATGCTTGACCTGCCAGAAATTACTTGCTGCTTTTATCAACCATAACTGGATGTTTGGAGAAAAGAAAACAGCTCCTAGTTGTTCCCTACCTTCCTTCTCCATATAGTGACACCCCTGGCTAAATAAAAAAGCAGTTGTTTAGCTCTGCCTCTATTTCTAACTGCTCACTGCCCCCAGTCCATTCATAAAAGCAGGATGGGTGGTGGGAGGGTCAGTATACCATGGGGCAAGAGACAGCAAGGAAAAAGAAATTATGTAAAACTTTGTTTTTACGTAAGAATTAATTAATACAAGGACTATTCAACATGTGTATCTTTATCCAGTTTTGATAATTTCAATAGTTTAAGAAGAAGTAGAAAGGCTTAGCCACAAAGTGTTATCAAAATCATTAAGAAAAAGGTCATAAGAAAAACTTTCCTATTTCAGTTATAATAGTCTCACCTGTCGAAAGTAGCATGAAGAAAACCACACTTTTGTTTTACACAAGCTCTAGCCTAGGATGCAATTTCAATTAAGAATTTCCAAACATTTCTGGAACCTCCCTCCCTATATTTGAAAGTCTGTGCACTGTAGCTGCACATGTTTTTAAAAGCACCATGTTTTTAAAAGGTATCATTCCTCTGTTGCTCTGATCAACCCATGTACTACAAAAAAGTGGAGGTATTAAAGAGCCTACTAAACTCAAGCCACAGCACAAAAATATTGATTCAAGATTATTTCTGCATAGTTTTCACAACAGTACGGATGTACAGGACAAAACACCAATAAAGCCAAGAACCTCAAAGGCAGAAAAATCACTCGCTCACTTTCAGGCTAATAAATGCAATTAAATAACAAAGACGACCCACTCATTAAACCATAGCAGACAGCAAAAGGGAGACTAACCATATTGCCTGCTATTTAAAGAGCAAGCTAGTAACCACCCCCAAATTAAAATTCAATGTAAAGTACAGAAGTACTATAGAAAACACGTGGCAGGACTAAACTAAGAAGGCCTTCCAACTCACACTGTAGAACCTGCTCCAGTTCATAAGCCCTGGCTGAGGTGTACTAGGAGGGGTGGGTAACGGGAGAAGGAATAAGTTGATGGCCTTCAGTTTTCAGTCTTTCAAGCAACTAATTATTAACTTCTGCCATTCTACAGTTAATGACCTTTGAGGGTCTATTTTACACAGAAACCTACAGGGTTTTCAAGCAAAGGGGAGAATCACTATTTTGAAATTTACCCACGGCCTCACCTTAAGAGTCCTAAAAAGACAGCATGACTGGGCACGGTCTATCTTCAGAACAAGAACAAGTTGAAATGTAGGAATACTATCAGCTTCACTTTGTTACTGAATTCATTACAAGAAAAGCAAAAACAGACAGTGATGTGTGCATGCCAGCAGAGAAGAAACAGGTGTGCCAAGGGAAAAACATAAGACACATGGTCAGAGAGAAAAGGCAGCTCATACACTTTCCAAACTACTAGGAAAGAAGTGAGACAGTGCCATCCAGTGAGACTTATCCCATTGGCACAGAAGGAAAAAGATCAGGCTAATATCCTTTGGGGTGTCTTGAGCTTGATGTACGACCATAAGTCTATTTATCTGTTTTAAGCATGAGACAACATAGTAGGAAGGTAAAAATACTTTTTAAGGCTTGAACTGACTTCCCTGACTTTGCTGCCTTGCTGAAGTTTCTTTGCCACAAAAAGGTCTCTTTATTTACAAATAAAGAGGTATGGCTCCGGTTTATATACTTACTAAATAAAACCCACAGAAAAGAAGCTGCACAGATAGAAGCCTGATCGACTGAAAGAAACATAGTGTTTAGAGATTAGGGGATACTGAGCGGTCAGGTCATTGTTACCATACCCTCACTCCATCTTCTCTTCTCCAGTTTTCACAGAGCAGTCTAACATGCCCTCAGCAATTTCATCAAGTCTTATGTGTACAAGAACATTTCTCTAAGCAGGCTCCATACATATATATGACACAGTCAGTACTCTGTACATTCATTCATTATTTTTTTGAATGTTTTTTATTTATGCATTTGGAAACCACACGATACAGCCAAGCTACAAGTCACTTACAGACATATAATTGTAGTTATCTGTTCACGTGCATACAGAAAAAAAAGGATGGTGGAAGATGTGACTAACAAGCACAGATACCAGACTATTTTGTTAACAAAACACCATTACTATTAACACATGATCAGATCTTTAAATGGTCAGATGTTTTAAAAAATACACACGGCTCTGAAGAAAACCTATTAGCCACATACATTTTCCTTGCCCTATAGAACTCATTGCTTCCCTTTCCTCTTCAGGTCCCCATTCTTCCTTGAGCTACTAGGAAAAGGAGAACAAGAATGATGTCTACTAAACTTCTGTCACTACGCTACGCCTCAGAGGTTCAATGTAAGTTTTAAATTCTTGACCATCAGCTGTGAAGCATACCAAGTATTAGGTGCTGCAGAACGTAAGAGATCACCATAAAATTCATGGCTGTCAGGCTACATTCTCTGGAAAATAAAGTGAGATTTAAATTTGACCAGATATGAACCCCAGGCAATGAAGCTAAATAGTACTTCATCAACTAAGCTCCTTCTGTGGCCTAGAAAAACCATTCACAAATTCTGAATCACTGGGGAGAAACATCTTTACAAAAGACACCCATAAGAAATTGGCATCACAAAAGTACACAGAATATAATTTTGTTTTCTACACAAATGTTTTTGAAACTTACCTGCCTCTTAGGATCAGTGCTGTGCTCATAAGTCTAGTATGTCTCCCTAAAAGCTGTTCATCTCATTTCTGCTCTTACCAAGAATTTCTGCTAGAATGCCACAGCTTTCAATATTCCTGGAAACAGTTCAGTCCAGAAGCAACAGACACAGCTCTTTCAGGACCACAGCGATGATGACCCTTCAATTACCGTGATACAGTCATACAGGCAACAAACAAAAACACACTTCCATCCCAAAAGAGCTGCACGCTACTTCTGCAGTAATTTCAAGTCTGGGTCTCACAGCTGAAAAAGGGGACTAAATTCACTCTGAAACTCTACTAGCACTAGCCTATCTTTCTCTCCCTCTACCCCACCCCAATAGTGTTTGAGCTGCTGCTTAATCACTCTCCTAGGATATGTGGGAGGCAGCACTGACTTAAAAGTCTGACTTAAAAGTACAGCATATTGCACCTACTGGAATATGGGAATCATTTTAGGCAGCTACAACAGGTAGCAGCTTTCTTCTTGAAGGGACAAAGGGTGCCAAAATGCACAAAAGACATTAATCCTTCCTCCAACCAGAGATACTGGTAGTTGTGTCCTTGCTGCTTTGCCATACAACAGAGGGAATCTAACTGGGGTTCATGAGTTCCAGTAACTGCTGAAGAGCCACTGTGAAGGATATCCTGCTAACTTCTATTTATAGGACCTGGGGAGGGGGAGGGGAAGAACAGGGAGCAACATATTGTAGTAGAACATGCAAAATGACGTCTTACTGTTAGCATAAGATAGCTATACTAGATCAAAAATACAACTGTCCAGTTCATTGAATATGGATAAATAGTAATGCAGAAAGCTGCAGCTCTAGTTTTAAAGAAAGAGCCCACAAAATGTCTATCCTGTTTGTTACCTAGGCATGCTTAACTGGGTATCAATTGTTTCAGTGGTACAGATTAACTATTACCAACCTGAGACACATGATTACTCAATACAAATATAAGATTACAAAATAGAAACTTGACTTTATTCTACTTCCAGCAGCAAGACTGTGAAGAACTCTAATTCTATCTAAATCTAATTCTAACTTTTATAACCAGTAAACTACTCCTCAAGTCTTTCAGATTAAAGAAAAGGAAATCTATATTCCCCAAATTAAAACATGACAAGGATCAAAACCTTTATAAACCACAGCAGAGAGGGGGGTTTGGGCTGTGGTGGGGTTTTTTTGGGTTTTGGGGTTTCTTGGGGGGTTTTGTTTGTTTGTTTTTAGAAGAATGTTTACTTGTTTTCTTAAAAACAAAGTTTTGCACCATTATGAAGTTACCTTTTTCGATTTACTTACGCTGTACTACTAATTTAACACAACATATACACCTAACACTACATGAATTCTAACTCATTCTTCCAGGATACAGTTTGAACTAATTTTTTCCGGGAAAATATACTTCACTACCTAACTGCCAAATCCTACCTATTCAGTCGGTAATATCTGCTCAGAGTACAGCTGGATAAAAATAAAGCAGCAAATGTGTTTGGTAAATACAAAAAATGTGCTTGCTCCTGTAGGAAAATGAGAATTTTTAAGAGGCACCTTTACTGGTAAACTTGCATTCAAAATATAGGTACAAAGAACAGGACTGAGGGACCGGGCAACACAATCAAACATGATCAAATTACGCAACCCGTATAAGTTACCACCCATTGCCAGAGCCAAATTGAACAACTCTTAAGTGTTCTTTCCTAGCTTGCCACAATTGCTAAGTGCAACATGCTAGCTCAAACATCTATATTTAAGTTCTACCTCACAATTCAGATGGGCAGTTAAGATCACATACTTATCACAATTAGCTGACAGGCAGAAACTTGTTACTTCTCTGCAACATAATCATACATACCGTCAGAAGCCTACAACCCAAAGGGCAGAAACTGAACTTCCGAGTAGAACTGGAACCTAAGTAAGCCAAAACTACTAATGGTTTCTACCGGACTGGGTGAACAGCTTCAGCCAAAACAAAACGGTTCAAATTGCATAAATAAAAGTGTTGCTGGTGCTTTTCTCTTCCTCCCTAAGCTCTTTTGTTTGAGGATACCAACCTCATAGTTTAGAGGATGCCTAATTTACAGATGTGATTTGAACTTGGACCTCCCACCACTCAAGAAATTGCTGTAATCACCAAACCCACCCTCAAAAATCCCAAACGATCGTATCACCTGAAGCAGTAAGCGGCATCTCCTCCCTCATGTAGACTGGCAAAGAGTCGACAGCTGCCACTTCCACAGAAGAAGAGACAGTAAAAGCATAAGCACGTCACCTCTAGCATACATGGGAAGTCCAGCACAAAACCCATGGCTGCTGCAGTTAAAGTTGCCATCGTAAAACCGCAATTCTCTGTCTACAATGGCATTGTACAGCCAGCAAGTTCAGGAATTCTTGACCTACAGGGTATTCTGTAGACACCCCCGATCTTTGCTGTTGAAGCTATTCCACTCTCAATAAAATAATTAACTATTCAGTGAACAGAGACTGGTACCTCTGTAGTCCTCACAATGTCTATGCATTATAAGACAGCCTTACAGACAAAATGAGTTCTCACACACTCACTAGCCTGTGCTATTCCCACCATTCTGTGAATAATGTTGAGACCTTTTGTAAAAGAGCTCTTTCACTTTCTCCGCTTTCACTTAGAAAGCCCAGAAATTGAACAGTATCTGACTGTAGATCTTACCCTCCTCAAAGAAGTTTGAGATGTTTCACACTTTATTTTAGCATGCATTGTTTTGCACGCACAGCTTCAGGCAACACATGCTGGAAAGTTAAGAGAACAGTTTAAGAAATGGATTTCATGTTCTTAGCTAGTATCATAAACACACCTTCTGAGAAAAGCTCAGTAATTACACAAACCCTGAATTTATTAACACGACAGCTTTACACATAAGTAGTCCTATGGAACTATTCATATGTACAAACAATTGCAGAACAGGGGTTTTAGCAAGTATAGTTTTCTTCCCCAGAACTGATGCTGAAATGAAATCCAGTGTTCTACTACCTTTCAGCAGCCAGCCATCAGAATTTCACTCAATATTTCTGAACGTATCAAACAAAAGCATCACGCTTTTACTACATCTGATAGGAAGATATATGAAATAAAACATGCCCATTTCCAAAATGGAGATTAGTCACAGAATACCATGAAACACTGCTTTCACTCTAAAGTCACGCATACTTTCACCACCAGATCAGCAAAAGAAGTGGGTTTTACTGTCTGAGAAACACTAAGCACTGTCTGTACAATTAAGTTTTATCAGGTAGCAACATGTTGAAATGAATGAAAGCAATCATCTGCTAGAACTTCTGTTTATATTTAGACAGGTAAGAATATCTCTCTTTACACGAAAATTGAAAATGCTGCATGCGTGCCATTCCATTTTGACGTATTCGGGAAGGCTGCTTTGTACCCTTCTATACCACTGGTTCAAAACAGCACAATACACATGGGCAAATAAATAAAACAGTTAACAGGAGGCGTATGCTATCTACTTTTCACTTTGTACTTCTATAATTTTGTTAAGGATGAGCAGATTTTCAGTTGTGCGTGCGTGTGTGACAAGCAGTTGCA